GCTCACGGAGAATACTGGAATAGCTCAAGTATCTCTAAGTGATTGTAAATCCTGTTCTGGCTGATAGCTTCAGCCTGCTGCGCCCGTCCATGTACAATGATGGGAACATGCATTTCTGTTTTCTACATATTTGCCGGCTACTGTACTGTGGTATTACATTTGCAGGTCCCTTATATAAAAAATATGTTCAACCCCCTCCCACATTATAAATATGAACTAACAATTTCACTGTTGGACTCGCAGGCGGCTAGAGAGCAAAGGATTAATTTATAGCAAAGAAAAGGACCAGGGAGCTACAAGTAAATTAGTTACGCTATAATGTCCACGAACAATTTCACTGTATTTGAAATAATTTTGTTTGATACCCTGAGAACTCTGAAACTTTGGAGCACTGTGGATTATATGTGGATACAACATTTATAGAAGGAAAAGTGGAATAATTTCTAACACATTGTTCAAATAATTATAGCACTGAATTGTTGAGATTGTGAGCACATTCCAATCAGCACTCTACATATTTATAAGCGGTGGAAATCGTTAGGAATAGGTCGTGAGTTGTCAGAGTGCTCCAGCATATGAGAGAATGTTTTGTTTGTCTAATCGACGGCTCGTTTGAAGCCAGAGTTGTTTGAACTTGTTTCAGTCGACTTGATTCTAGATAGTAGTCGAATGTAATGTATATAACTGAACCTATCTATCTGTCTATTGCTTCACTATTCGTTGATCATGCTGTAAGCCTACATGGGTAGTGTTTCACCCAGGATGACAGTTTGCCCTTTCATCAATCATCGTGGTCTGCTGCACACGATGCATGGATGTGTTTCCTTTGTTTTGCATTGCTTGCTGTATGCACGCTTTCAGTCTTATCATGCTATCGTTAGTTCCGGTATAGTGCGTTGTTGCGAGTCTTGCGTGCTGTGCGTAGAAGTTGTACCACCGCACTCAGTATCGCTCTAGCCCGATAATCCATATGCATCTGAGTTGGCTGTACTCAGTTGCCTTTTGGGAACTCTTTGCCATGAGTTCATTAGTAGTTCTTATGTTGTCGTTTTGCTCTCAACTTGTTTTCTCTCTCTCTCTCTCTGAAATGTTCTTCCCTGAATAACAACTAGTTACTTTCGTACTGCCTGTTGGTCGAGTTGGCGTGCATGCCTGCGTGACTGAAGTTCCATAACACGAAGGAGTACTATGAAGTACACACCACACGTAGTCCGTAAGGTATCTCGTGAGAATTCTGTCGGTACACATCAGGTATCAGCTTGGAAAGATGGATCCTCTCTGTTTCTTGAAAGCCTGTATAATTGGACTGTGGCTCCAGCGATTCCCTTCTCGAAGCAGATACCATACCCAATACGGTCAATGCATATTGGACAGACCTGTATGCACAACAGAAATAGTGGAGAGAAATCTCTCAGCTCATGAACACGTCAGTGAAGTTTGAACTGCCGTTGTTTGTGGCCATCAGTATAAACCTATCGACTATAAGAATAATGTGCAAACAAACTTCTATAACCACAGCTGGGGCCATGGAATTATAAACTTAGGGAACTGCCAATTCTGATCTGAGTTGCGTTCGAGGCCTGCAATTCATGATGGCTATCGATGTTGCATTGACCAGAGATCATATTATAAAACTTCCACGCCACATTGAAACACGCACCACTTTCGAGTACTTAGGTATCCCCCACCAAATGGGCATTCGTTCTCGGGGTGGCAGGCGTCACTATTCGTTATGCCTGGATCAGATTTCATTGACCCCAACTGTCATGAAGAATCATTTTTACTTTGACTGGATTTCAGTACAAGTTGTAGAACTGCAGAATCAATTTCGTTGTATTTGGGCAACCATTTCACTACAAACGCTCTATTGGGAAAATAGAATTTTTCTGATAAAATACATGTCCAAATTCCACATCTACCCAAATCGGAATACTTGATCACGTATTCAGTACTACACGGAATGTTTAGAAAACGCCAGGGAATAGGAATTTGCTAACAAGAACTCCAGGCCAGGGTACTAGCATACGAACAAAACAAGATAAAAACTCACCAGTGTACTTGTAGTAATTCATGTCGGTGTAATATTCACGATAAGCAACGAGGCACCCTCCGATTCGGTCAAGCTGCTTTGAAGTCTGGTTGTTCAGGTGATACAAACGGGCTCCCCGTTGTTACTTCCAGCAGCTTCACTCTCCCTGCGACAGCGGCTATCAGCCTCTCTCTCCATCGTCAACAATTATCACAGATTCAACATTCTACATTTATCAGCACTGCACTGGGTGAATATGTCTCGAGACGAATTTAGCGGATCAACAACGCTTCGCTGGAGATAAATTCTCCTCTGGAGGACCTTCAGGGTACCTGGAAGGGTATAGAAGACGGGATCGCCCACGACGTTGAGAGAACATAGAAAATATCCTCCTCTTCGATTGAAAATTGGCCAAAAAGTATGTGAAATGTATGTGCGCAGATGCATTTCCACTGGCAAGCTAATCCCTCATTACGTCATCAGCGCTCGCTCGGCGAAATTCAAAAGTCGTCGTCCTGCTCGACTCGATCGCTTCTGGAGACTCGTTCTTGTTCGAGGGGTCTTCTCTTTCACCTACCTTCGTCTTGGCATCGAAAACTCGGTGTCGAAAATGAAGCTGGAGTGCCCCTTTAACATGAATATCGCGGATTGAAGACACCACTGCAGCTGTACTTATGGGTGATAAAATTTATGGTGGTAAAGACACACCTGGCAATATGGCGGTAAACACACGCCTGCCGCATGCCACACACGCTCTCTAGGCTGCAAAGCTCTGGCACAGAGCTCTCTGTACAGTCACCTACATTGTACCTGTGCCTATATATTTGGCATAGTGCATCCAAATGTAATTTGACCCCGCTTCCTATTTGACACCTTCGCGTACGCACATGCACCTCGCATGCACCAGCGGTAACTGTTGCGTGCCTGTGCTGTTTACATGCCTACTCTGTTCCCTGTGTTCTCCACTTCTCCTTCTTCTGTCTTCATCAAGTATAGTTTGTTACCGGAATGTGATGGTTGTGCTGGACTGAGAGAGTGTGCATGGGCATTTACCTTTAGTGCTGTTGCAGTAACGCAACACTTGGTGTCAGAACTGGTACCCCGAACCCTCGCCACCGGACCCGCTCGCCATGGCAAAATTTCAGCCCCCTGAAAGCTTCGACTTTTCCACACCTGAGAATTGGCCCCGCTGGAAAAGCCGATTCTCACGCTTCCAGATTGCTACCAAACTCTCTTCCGAATCCGCAGACGTCCAAATCTCCACTCTCATCTACTCTCTGGGCCCAACTGCGGATGATATCTTCCAGCGTGAGTTGTCCTTCGCCCAAGATTCCGACAAGGACGACTTCGATAAAGTGGTCGATGCTTTCGACAAGTACTTTGCACCTGCGGACAATGTTATCCACGAACGGACGCAGTTCGCTCGTCTCCACCAACTGAGCTCTACTCCCCGGTGAGTCCGTAGCCACGTTCTCAAGCCGACTCCACTCTGTCGCGGCGAGATGCCGTTTCGACAAGCCGTCAGAACGGATCCGCGATCACCTCGTCGCCCACATGGCTGATTCTGAAGTGAGTAAGGCGATGCAGAAAAAGGACATAGGCTCCCTCACCCTCGCCGATGTTCTCAAGGAGGCCAAGGCAGCTGAGACCCTCGAAATCCAGCTAGCCACTCAGCGCTCCGCAGCCACTCAGCCCTCCGTCGCAGCCGCTGTCGCTCGCGGACATCACAAACAATCTCGTGGAACTGGCAGACCGAAGAATGTTCCCGCTGGATCTCGCCAGTCCGCGCCTAGTTACTCGACACGTGGCCCTCCAGCAGCCTCTGCTCCGCGCGCTCCCTGCTCCGGCTGTGGCTCATCCAGTGGTCACTCACGCCGCGATTGTCCTGCTTGGTCCGTCGAGTGCCGTAAGTGCCAGCATCGTGGTCACTTTGCCAAAGTGTGTCGTAGCTCTCGTCAAGTGGGCGCGAGCGAGATGTTTGACCATCCGGTGAGTGATTCTGCTAGTGCTAGTGCGAGTTGTTTTATGGGTAGTGCTTCATCCGAGTCACAGGAACACAGTATCCGTGTTTTGAGTTCAGTATCAATTCCTGACTCAACTGAACCCTGGCTTGTTGAGCTCCCCATCAATGGCCAGTCGGTGTTGTTCAAGCTGGACTCTGGCGCAGACTGCACACTCCTGTCACTGCCTTCCTACAATAGCCTCAGTCCTCAACCTAAGCTCACGCCGATCTCCACTAAGGTCACTGTACCTGACGGCCAACCTCTACCCATACACGGCGCATTTGTTGCTGCCAGCTCCTGGAAGGACCGCAACGTCACGTTCCGTGTTATTGTTGTTGATGGCCCCAGCAACCTCCTCAGCCGCAGTGTGTGCCAGGACCTGAACCTCCTGTCTTGCGATGTATCCGAGGCATCCGCAAGCCCTCCGTACGCTCCTCCCGTCATTGGTCGCATGTCCGGTCCTGCAGCTACCATCGAACTGCAAGACAATGCCCAACCATATCACTGCCAGACCACACGACGAGTTCCCATCCACCTGCAAGCCAAGGTCAAGGCCGAACTTGACCGGATGGTCCAGATGGGAGTCATCTCTCCAGTCACTGATCCGACCGACTGGTGCGCGCCCATGGTGCAGGTGCTCAAGAAGAATGGCTCCGTCCGCATCTGCGTGGATCTCAAACGCCTGAACCAGTCCGTGAAGCGTTCACACTTCACTCTGCCGACCATCGAAGACACCCTGGGCAAGCTGTCCGGAGCCAAGGTCTTCTCGTCGCTTGACACGGCGTCTGGGTTCTGGCAAGTGCCACTTGCTGACGACAGTGCGTCACTCACTACCTTTATGACACCGTTTCCACCACTACATCTACGGCGGTCCTCAGTTCACAGTCGAGACTGACCACAAGCCTCTCGTGCCTCTCATCAACTCCGCCGATCTCACCCGCTCTCCTCTGCGATGCCAGCGACTCCTGATGCGGCTGATGAGGTACAACCCAACCGCTATCCACGTGCCCGGCAAATCACTCGTCATTGCCTACACCCTATCCCGTGCTCCGCAAGAGTCCTCGCCTACTAGTGATCTTGCTGATGAAGTACAGCTGCATGTGTCTGCCGTCACATCGCATTGCTCCACCGACCCGCTCTTGGTCGACGTTCGGAACGCGACCAACGCTGATGCCGGCATGTGTCGCCTCCGTGCCCTCATCCTCAACGGGTGGCCAGCCAAGCCCACCTCGGTCCCTGCTAGCCTCCGCCCGTACTTCGCTGTTCGCGATGAGCTCTCAACTGCTGATGGTCTCATATTCCGTGGCCAACGTGTCATCATCCCTGCATCCCAGCGCAACGCCGCCCTTGCCAGTGCTCACGAGGGTCACCGAGGCGTTGGTAAGTGTCGTGCTCGTGCGCGCGCTGTGATGTGGTGGCCTGGTATGTCTACGGACATTGAGTCGTATGTGATGTCTTGTGCCACCTGTGCCAAGGCCCGTCCTAACCCAGCCGAGCCGCTCATCTCGTCCGAGTTCCCACCTCTTCCATGGTCAAAGATCGCGTGTGATCTGTGTGCAGCCAAAGGATCCACTTACCTAGTAGTTGTCGACTATTTCTCGCGCTACATCGAAGTCAAACAACTTACCACTACTACGTCTGCCGCTGTGATTGCCTCTCTCCACTCCGTGTTTTCTACCCATGGTATTCCACACACGCTAGTGTCTGACAACGGTCCACAATTTGCTAGTGCCAGCTTCCGTGCATTTGCTGCCGAGCTTGGGTTTGCCCATCGCACGTCAAGTCCTCGCTTCGCCCAAAGCAACGGCGCTGCAGAACGTGCCGTTCAGACAGCCAAGCAGCTCATTCTCAAGAACGATGACTTGCCTTCCGCTCTCTTGGCCTACCGGTCTACGCCATTGGCCAACGGTTATTCACCGTCACAGCTGTTGTTTGGCCGCCAAATCCGCTCCAGGCTACCAGGACCCCTCCCTGCTCCAGACTAGCCCGATTTGACCGCCCTTGCCGACAAGGAAGCATCTTCCAGGTCTCGGCAGGCTGATCGCTACAATGAACGCCACCGTGCTCGACTGCTGCCTGTTCTCGCCCCTGGTGCTCCTGTGTATGTCCCCGATATGGACAAAACTGGACACGTCCAGAACCGCCTGTCCGAACGTTCCTACACGATCAACCTCACTCCTGGGTCATCTGTCCGCCGAAATCGTCGCCACGCGCGTGCGTTGCCATCCACGTCAGCCAAACGCCCTGATCCCTCCCGCTCACCCTCCTCCATTGAGCCCATGTATGAGGTTGAGTATGGCGTTCCTGCTCCTGTGCATGTTGCCCTGCAACCACCAGCTAACTCTACTCTGCCACCTCTTCTGCCTGTGCCGCAGTCTCCTAGAGTTGCTAAGCCTCTGCCACCCGGTCGCAGACCACCATCCAGCCGTGTTTGCCATGCACCACAACGCTATGCTGCCAATACCTGAACACAGTAACACTGTTTACTTCATGTGTTCCAGTTGAACTATGACTGTGTTCTTTTCATGTTTTTTTTTCTCTCTATCATTCTGAGTAATGCTCACGTTGGTACCCGCTCCAGAACTGCTATCGTTCCCTTTCCTCTCTCCTTTGCTCCACACTTTCTCGTGTCCCTCCGTTCGCATTTTTTTCGGGGGGAGATGTACAGTCACCTACCTGTGCCTATATATTTGGCATAGTGCATCCAAATGTAATTTGATCCCGCTTCCTATTTCACACCTTCGCGTACGCACATGCACCTCGCATGCACCAGCGGTAACTGTTGCGTGCCTGTGCTGTTTACATGCCTACTCTGTTCCCTGTGTTCTCCACTTCTCCTTCTCTCTTCATCAAGTATAGTTTGTTACCGGAGTGTGAAGGTTGTGTTGGACTGAGAGAGTGTGCATGGGCATTTACCCTTAGTGCTGTTGCAGTAACGCAACACTCTCCTTCTCACCACCACCACCATCAGTTCGCGCCTGGCGCCTGGTCGATGCATGGCTGGCGGTATCCGGCATAGCAGGCTGGTACATCAAGTAGCGCATGGCACATAGATGATGACACAGCAACGACATAGCTCGATTGCGACGTACGTTTCGTCCCCGCTGGACTCATCAGGCAATCTTCTTCTTGGATGTCTTCATACGGAGCTTGACTCGGGAGAATGAAATTGAAGACACCACTGCAGCTGTACTTATGGTTGATAAATATGGTGGTAAAGACACACCTGGCAATATGGCGGTAAACACACGCCTGCCCACACACGCTCTCTAGGCTGCAAAGTTCTGGCACAGAGCTCTCCTTCTCACCACCACCACCATCAGTTCGCGCCTGGCGCCTAGTCGATGCATGGCTGGTGGTATTCGACATAACAGGCTGGTACATCAAGTAGCGCATGGCACATAGCAGATGACACAGCAACATGTCGTTGCTGTGTTGCAGTGGGGACGACACGTACGTCGCAATCGAGCTATGTCGTTGCTGTGTCATCATCTATGTGCCATGCGCTACTTGATGTACCAGCCTGCTATGCCGGATTCCGCCAGCCATGCATCGACCAGGCGCCAGGCGCGAACTGATGGTGGTGGTGGTGAGAAGGAGAGCTCTGTGCCAGGACTTTGCAGCCTAGAGAGCGTGTGTGGGCAGGCGTGTGTTTACCGCCATATTGCCAGGTGTGTTTTTACCACCATATTTGAATAAAGATGATGTCGGATTACGATAGTTTAGTTGTTATGCGAGATTTCCTTGACGATTACAGATAAAGCGTTTCTGGAGGCAAATGTCCAAAAAGTATGCGAGAACAAAAATACAGCGTTCCTGAAGGCAAAGGTGCACATAAGTAGAGCATAAGGCAATGGTACAGAAAAGAGGTGAGAACTTACAAACAAGGCAATCGTGAAGAAAAAGAGGGAACTGAAGAACTAGCGGCTCTAGAGGCTAAGACACAAACTTTAGGTGACCAGCACTGGAGGATGGATGAAAGATATCAGAGCGTCCATTCTGTTCACTTTAAACATCATGCCATGTTCCAATTGGGCAGAGCCAGGTATTCCTCTGCAAGCAATCATAATGCCATCAATGATCCTCATTTCATGTAATAATGCGTGTACTTATTGTGCTTGTTCAGGTGCGGAGTGAGATCGGTAATAATCACGTGACGACGCTTGCGACGCTTGTTGGACAGCTCACTGAGCTTATAGCCCACATACGCCACGTGACTGAAACGCGATGATCTGTCGTTATGGTAACGTGGGACATGGTAATACCCGAGCACGGGGGTGGGGGGCAGGAGCGTGACGGGGTCCAGTGAATGCGCCACTCTAATGCTCTTGGTCACGTGACGACCGTAGTATGCGGCAAAGCATTCATCGCCAACCCTGGGAGCACCGAAGCTCATCATGATGACGTCCATGCCTCTGTTAACGCGTAGATCGAGTGCAGCGAACACTCCTAGTGCTCCTCCCATGGAGTGGCCTGTCACATACACACGATTGGGTGTCGTTACGTGATATTTGGACCTTGCTTCTCTTTGCGTGTTAAGAACAGCAGCCCACATTTGATTGCGAATAGCGTTATAAGCGTTGTTGAAACCCTTGTGCACCTTGCCAGAATCAGCGGGGAATAGGCTAGGGCGCACCTTTGCGATCCGGAAGTTGACTCCGAACCAGTTTGCAACGTTCGGCCCGTCCGAGCCGCGGATGGCCACCACTACAGCCTGTAGTGCAGGATCGTAGCCAACGAAGTAAGCCAATTGCAAGCTACTATAGGTGTGTGAAGCGATGATGTCAAACCGAGTCACTAAAGGGTTTACTCGACAAGAGTGGCACTTCCATTCCAGTAGCGATGGCTCCTTTTGGTAATATGCTATACCACAGTATACAAACATCTTCCGTGCCAAGTTCTGGCTATACGGATAGTCATTGCTGCCAATCTTGCAGGACGACGAAGGCTTGAAGATGCTGGTGATACCGGTGGCGACTCTCATGGATAAACTACTGCGCCTCCGCCGCGAGCCGCTGCGACGCCTGCGCCTCCTGCCCCATGCGTCGCTGGAATCCGCCAACAAGGCCAGTACTATGAGAAGCAAGAGAAAGCCTTTGAAGCTCATTGCGCAGATCTGTGATGTCAACCAGACTGGAGCGGGGGTAGTGCAGCGGTCGAACTGAGCTCCTGGAGCTAAACTGCCTCCCCTAATCAGGTACTGAGACCTATTGCGGACTGCTACGTCTTATATGCGGCCGATGGCCCGCCTAAATTCTTTGCTTGCTTCTCCTCGCTAGAGAAGAGCACCAATGAATGGCCAAGTGTCAGACCAAACGCCTGTCGCACTGAGCGCTCTTCGGCAAGACTCTGCGAGCGATGATGGCAATATGGTTCGCGCCAGACTGCGGCCCGGATGACTGCGCATGGTTATTATTATGTGGACCTAGGCAAGACAGTACAGCTTCAGTTTGACAGCTTCTCTCGCCGGGTTCTGGTACCATGAAGTTGAAGACACCACTGCAGCTGTACGTATGGTTGATAAATATGGTGGTAAAGACACACCTGGCAATATGGCGGTAAACACACGCCTGTCCACTTTTGCCTGATGAGTCCAGCGGGGACGAAACGTACGTCGCAATCGAGCTATGTCGTTGCTGTGTCATCTGCTATGTGCCATGCACTACTTGATGCACCAGCCTGCTATGCCGGATACCGCCAACCATGCATCGACCAGGCGCCAGGCGCGAACTGATGGTGGTGGTGGTGAGAAGGAGAGCTCTGTGCCAGAACTTTGCAGCCTAGAGAGCGTGGGCAGGCGTGTGTTTACCGCCATATTGCCAGGTGTGTCTTTACCACCATATTTATCAACCGGGTTCTGGTACCGCTATATGAATTCGATGATGCTATTAGCACACAACGGCCCTATCCAGGGTTTATCAGTAGCCAGCAACTAAACGGATTCCCCAGTCAATGTCGTACGATGACTTCGGAAGTCAGGGCACGTCAGTAAATACTGTCATAATAATTATTATCACTACAGTATTATGAAGAGGCCTGATGGATGCGCAAGATGGCACATAGGAGAAGACCGGTAGATCTTCTGCGCGGTACGGGCAGGGCACAGGCGAGCTGCATGCGCGTGCACAGAAGTGCTTGGGACCTGAACACCAGACATGTCATGGCTGTTGGAGACCCAACGCATGCATGTACATGACACTTGCAGGTTGCAGGTAGTTGTCTCAAACCGGTCCGAACTGACACCTTGTGTGACATATTGGCATGGCATTTGCTGTCTAGACCGGATTTCATTCAGCACCACTGTGAATCGATTGGCTCTAATGCCTACACAGCTTGATATCTACAGCATTGGGTATGGCCTGATATAACACTGTATACCTACAATAGGATATAGTTATTTAAAATGTTCACGACAGACAGTAGTAATCCTCACTCAATGCCTGGCTTCTTCATCTGCTGCAGCCAGTGCAGGATGATTTCCAAGGGACAGGTCGCTGCCAGACGCTGCCAAAGCTCATGCCAAACAACCTAGCCCGCACCCTGGATATGACGTGAGAATTGTACTAATACGGACATGACAGCGGATATTGCACCGTCAACGTTCTGGCGCAGACCCAAGGCTACCTACAATGTAGCTATCCCGAAGGACAATGCTCTTCCTTCTTCTGTTCTACCGCACTGCACAGGGGCTTGCCAATTTTGGATCCGCCAGTACGGACGCTCCATCCAGCTGCATATCATTTCCTTGTGTGTGTGTGTGTGTGTGTGTGTGTGTATTTAGAAAAGCGATCCTGTCAGCTTTTCTATGAATTGTTTCTACGTAAGGTGATCGGTACCTGGACCATGTAGGAGCTCTTACTCCATGGCTCCTACCAAGTACCATCGCGTGGCCGGCCGCGTGCGTGTGCATGGCAGACATGTTGCAGCCTTTCCGGATGTGCATGCACGAGGAACTTCCTTCTTTGGAACTGCTTCGTGCATGAGCTGTTTCGGGTATTTCGTCTCCTGGCCTGGCTTATTTCGATGGCGCTGCTGAGACCTGCTTTCACGGAATATTACTCAATGACAGGTGAGTTGACCAGTTCCTTTTGATTCATTTGCTTGTGTTGACTCTTTCATTTACGAAAAGTGTGCTGATTTTAGGTGGAATGCAATAAATAATGGAAAAGCTGACAGGGTCTCTTTTCTAAATTTAGCTTTTCCGCTGTCGAGGCCTCCTCAACGACAGGTGATCTCTGAGTTGACCGGTTTCCTTCGATTCATTTGCTTATGCTCACCCTATCATTTACGGAAGCGTGTGCTGGTTTTATTCAGATTTAGATCCATTCGTATTTCTTTGCCCTTGCCCATAGTGTGCGAAGAACGCTAGTTCACCCTTTTTTTTAAATTTCACACAAAACCTCACAATAATCACACACAGGATGAAAAAGCTAGAAGACCTTTTCCCCTCGTGATCCTCTTTCCCCGCATGCATGTTGGTGCAGTACAAGTTTTGAAAGCAGTATTTCAAGTGTTGTGATTATTTGAAACTCGGATGTTGAGCCATAAATAAATGTAGAAAAGAAAAGGACATATTGATACGAGTTAAGAGGAACTCTCCATCACTGTAACTGGATACTATATACAGTCAGAAAGTGCTATAACTAGACAAAAAACTGACAGAGTACTGAGCCATTCGACGTCCTGACACCTAGCTTCAACACATCTCCGTAGCGCTAACCGACAGCCTTCCAACTTGGAAGGTTCAAGGTTATGAAAAGACCGAAGTTTGAAGGCTGTCGGTTAGCGCTACGGAGATGTGTTGAAGCTAGGTGTCAGGACGTCGAATGTCTCAGTACTCTGTCAGTTTTGTGCCTAGTTATTGCACTTTCTGACTGTATATAGTATCCAGTTACAGTGAGGGAGAGTTACTCTTAACTCGTATCCATATGTCCTTTTCGTTTCTACGTTGTGATTATTGTGAGGTTTAGTTTGAAATTTTAATTTTCGGCGATCACATTTTGTTAATTACTTACTTTTTAGGCGGAGTCCCAGGCAGTTTGGAACGCAATTTTATACATTTTCTTTAAGGGAAGCACCCAGGACTTGAACACAATAACTTTTTTTTTAAAGCTGCCATAAAGCAGTGGGTCTATTGTTATTAGGCATCTGTCTGTTTTGGTTTCTCCACTATAAATAAAAGAATACTACTACTAAAGCAGTTTTTATTGCTATAATGTGCATGACGTGTATGCGTCCGCGCGCGCCTGTGCGTGTGCTCGACGTTATGCATACAAGTTACAACTGACGGCTATGCATGATTTCCACCTACATCTGCATGTACATGTACATGTACATACCTGCACATATGTACATGTACAATGTAGGTTCTCAATGGAGTCGGGGTGAAAAATAGAACTGCACCTGGAATGAGGTCGCGTGATTGTTATCATGCTAATACAAGTCATGTAGTGCTACATTGTATGTTGGTGATCCTTATGTTTTTGCTCATCTGGGCTGGTGTAATGAATCAGTCAAATCAAAAACTTCAAGCACAACGAACACTGGTTTGTAATTGCATTTCGTCGTATCTCACTTTCCCCGGCTGTACCTTCATTGACTCTGCCTGTGGCGTCGAGTACAAAAGTACATGACTTATGTATTTAGAATCAACGAGTAAAAACTCCTACTCAATCTCCAACAACAAAATTAGTAAACAGCTGTTATTTGTGTTTCTATGACAACTCGTGTGCTGGACGAGTATTATTATTATTATTGACGACTACACCATAGCTCAGTGGTTAGAGCATCACTGGCTACAAGCGAGGGTCCCTGGTTCGAGTCCTGGTGGTGACAGTCAATTTTTTCTTCAGACTTTTCCCGTTTGTCTCTTTCCCTCAAACTAGTGAAGATTTTATGACTTGGGGCTCCCCGCGTGCTAGAGTAGAGTGTACGTGAAGTGTGTGGGTACAGTGAGGGCTGCATCCCACCCGCCTGTGTGGATTCACAGGAAGTGTGAGTTACGAAGTCTGAAGAAAATGTTGAACAGTCTCTGCTGGGATGACGACTACACCATAGCTCAGTGTTTAGAGCATCGCTAGCTACAAGCGAGGGTCCCTGGTTCGAGTCCTGGTGGTGACAGTCAATTTTTTCTTCAGACTTTTCCCGTTTGTCTCTTTCCCTCAAACTAGTGAAGATTTTATGACTTGGGGCTCCCCGCGTGCTAGAGTAGAGTGTACGTGAAGTGTGTGGGTACAGTGAGGGCTGCGTTCCACCCGCCTGTGTGGACTCACAGGAAGTGTGAGTTACGGAGTCTGAAGAAAACGTTGAACGGTCTCTGCTTGGATGACGACTACACCATAGCTCAGTGGGTAGAGCATCGCTGGCTACAAGCGAGGGTCCCTGGTTCGAGTCCTGGTCGTGACAGTCAATTTTTTCTTCAGACTTTTCCCGTTTGTCTCTTTCCCTCAAAACCAGTTAATATTATTATTATTATTTGGAAAGGATTGGGAGAACTTCAAATTCAAAGGATCAGTCGGGGAAGTGAACTGCCTGAAAAGAGAAAAAAACGCCAGACCACGCAACGGATGCAACGTTTATCCAGTTTGGCTACTGTGTTCCGTTGCTCAGCGGACAGTCCTGGGAGAAACGCATTCGACGCATATAGAATATCCGGTACGACAAGGGCAGAGTAATACAGCATCGCCTGCCTCACTGTTAGCAGTGCCGGATCTGGCGGAGGATCCGCAGCTTCATAGCCATGCGTCGGACGATAGAGGTGACTTGCGGTGACCAGCGAAGAGTTTCGTCCAGAGTGACTCCGAGGTAGCGAGCCGTACTGGTCTGGGCAAGAGGCCTGTAGGCGGCCCCCGTGTTTCTCCAACTTTTGCCATCGCAAACTCGTTGGTTCGAAGAAATCGCGACAATTTAATGACGCGAATAGTGGGCGATTTTCAGTATCCTGTTGCTAGCCAGTTTTTTGCCTTGGTCGTGAGAAACGTCACAGCGAACACCTGGACGACTACGTAGTAGGCAGGTGTGATGTGCTATCCGGACTCAAAGCTTTTTGAAGAGGAAAACGGATCCTACATGAAGTCCTCGTGCTGTACAAACCATGCCGGCCTACAACACTACTGTAAATATACAAAATTTCGGCGCTGCAAAATTTCGGCACTTCACGATTTTTGACATTTCGGCGGCGATTAATTTCGGCGTGGGGTAGAGAGCATGGAATAGTGCGACAGATGCTGTGAAAAATTTCATCGGCGTTTTAATTTAGGCGTTTTGGGCCGGTGCCGAATATAGCCGAAATTAAATAGCTGCCGAAAATTTGTATATTTACAGTATGTAGAAACCATGCCTGCCTACAACGCTATGTAAAAATAGGTGTTCAGTCACGTGACATGACTGTCATTTCTTATTCTTTGGATTTTGGCACCAAATTTCCCGGCCCGGCGGGCGGGCGGGCATGCCAGCCTGCAACAAACCATGCCGTCCTACAACGCTATGTACAGAGCTCTGAACAAAATTTCGAGAACTCCAACTCAAGCCAACCTACAAGCCAACACTAGTTGAGAGCAGCGTGAATACTCACTCGCTTCATTTGTACAATCAAGCACATGTCTTTGTAGACGGGCCTTCTGGTTTAATATCGACTTGCTATGGATGACTCAGAAAGTGGTCGACATCACGCAACTGCATTGTAAATAAAAGGGGGCTTGTCAACTGACAATCACTCTATTCAGTTGCTATTCTGTCTTTGTGCATGTGCTGGATGAAAAATTCTTTTATGAGCGATGTCGAAAGATTATGACGTTTCGGTCCAGTCACCCCTCGTCAGTTCCTATGGATGGTGTTTGTATAATATCAGGGTGTGGTACCACAGAGGTCAACAAATCAGCATACATGTAATACTGATCCACTCCTACAGCATTCGCACAGGCCGCTCAGCAAGCTAGAAGAGAGTATGGACAAGCGAAAGCGAGGGAAGGGGCACAGAGCAGCCGGGTTTATAGAAGAAAAATACTAGTAGGATGCAACGGATATGGAAGAAAGATATCAGATCGTCCACTCTGTGTTCTTCGTACATCGTGCCATGTTCCATTGGGCAAATCCGGGCAATCCTCCGCAAGCAATCAGAATGCCCACAGTGAGCATCTTTTACGGGCAAACAGAATATAATTGACAGTGGCATGGCGAGTGACTAGAACACAACACCAAAAAATGAAACCAATTCCATGCGTAAACGGTACCATTTGGTAGGGGAAAGATCCAAGAGTCCCAAATCCCTTTTAACATCAAAATCAATGAAAATAAACGCCAAAAAAACGAGAGAGAAAAAACCCAGGAAAATACAAGGGCACTGTCCTGCCCACCATCATCTCCAAAACCTCACATCCGGCCCTCCGAGATTGCCAACTCTCGCAATGCATTTACAGGCCGGTGATATGATGATCGGGCACTGCGGATGCACATGATCGCCGACCGCAACAATGCAAAAGCCAGTCGACACCGGACAAAGGTCATTCTCTCGGCATACAATTTCGCGTCCCCAAGCAATCAGAATGCCATCATCATAAAAAAATCATCATTTCATGTAATAATGCGTGTACTTGTTGTGCTTGTTCAGGTGTGGAGTGAGGTCGGTAATGATCACGTGACGACGCTTGCGACGCTTGTTGTACAGCGCACTGAGCTTATAGCCCACATACGCCAAGTGATTGAAACGCGACGATCTGTCGTTATGGTAACGTGGGACATGGTAATACCCGAGAACGGGGGTGGGGGGCAGGAGCGTGACGGGGTCCAGTGAATGCGCCACTCTAATGCTCTTGGTCACATGACGACCGTAGTATGCGGCAAAGCATTCATCGCCAACCTTGGGAGCACCGAAGCTCATCATGATGACGTCCATGCCTCTGTTAACGCGTAGATCGAGTGCAGCTAACACTCCTATGGCTCCTCCCATGGAGTGGCCTGTCACATACACACGATTGGGTGTCGTTACGTGATATTTGGACCTTGCTTCTCTTTGCGTGCTAAGAACTGCAGCCCACATTTGATTGCGAATAGCGTTATAAGCGTTGTTGAAACCCTTGTGCACCTTGCCAGAATCAGCGGGGAATAGGCTTGGGCGCACCTTTGCGATCCGGAAGTTGACTCCGAACCAGTTTATAACGTTCGGCCCGTCCGAGCCGCGGATGGCCACCACCACAGCTTTTAGTGCAGGATCGTAGCCGACGAAGTAAGCCAAATGCAGGCGACTGTACGTATGTGTAGCGACGATGTCAAACCTAGTCACCAAAGTGTTTTCTCGACAAGCGGTGCACTTCCATTCTAGTAGCGGTGGCTCCTTGACATAGTAGGAAATACCGGAGTACACAAACATCTTCCGTGCCAAGTCCTGGCTATACGGATAGTCATTGCTGCCAATCTTGCAGGACGACGAAGGCTTGAAGATGCTGGTGATACTGGTGGCGACTCTCCTGAATAAACTACTGCGCCTCCGCCGCGAGCCGCTGCTACGCCTGCGCCTCCTGCCCCATGCGTCGCTGGAATCTGACAACAAGGCCAGTACTATGAGAAGCAAGAGAAAGCCTTTGAAACTCATTGCGCAGATCTGTGATATCAACCAGACTGGAGCGTTGGGTAGTGCAACGGTCGAACTAAACTCCAGGAGCTAAACTGCCTCTCCTAGTCAGCTATTGAGACCTATCGCGGACTGCTGCGTCTTATGTGCGGCCGATGGTCCGTATAAATTCTTTGCCTGATTCTCCTCACTAGAGAAGAGCACCAACAAATCGCAAAGTGTCGGAGCAAACGCCTGTCGCACTGAGCGCTCTTCTGCAAGACTCTGCGAGCGATGATGGCATTATGGGAAAAGTTCGCTTCAGTCTGCGGCCCGGATGACTGCGTATGGTGATAATTATGTGATCCTGACCTTGGCAAGACAGCACAGCTTCAGTTTGACAGCTTCTCTCGCCGGGTTCTAATACCGCTGTATGAATTCGATGATGCTATTTCTAGCACACGACGGCCCTATCCAGGGTTGATCGGTAGCCAGCAACTAAACAGATTCCCCAGTCAAGGTCGTACCATGACTTCGGAAGTCAGGGCACGTCGGTAAACACTGTTATTCTAGTATTTATATCATTACTATACAGAGCTAGAGGCCTGATGGATGAGCAAGATGGCACATCGCAGAAGACCAGTATCGAGCAGTACGTGCAGGTTACAGGCGAGGTGCATGCACTGTCACTTGCACAGTGCTTGCGACTTGAACACCAAACACAGGCCACAGGCCACAGGGCTGCTGTGTCCCCCCACCACATGCACCTACTTGCCGGGTACTGGTAGTTGTCTCAAACTTGTCCAAACTGAGGCCTTGTGACATATTGGCATTCACTGGCCGGACAGGATTTCATTCAGCACCACTAATAATCGACATGCACTAGTGCCTAAATAGCTTTATTATCTACAGCATTGGGTATGCCCTAATGTAGTACAAATACAAAGGACATAATTATTCATGTCCACGACAGTAGTAATCTTCACTCAGTGCCTGGCTTCTTCATCTGCTGCAGCCGGATTTGCAAGAGACAGGTTGCTGCCAGACGCAGCCAAAGCTCATGCCAAACAACCTAGCCCGCACCCTGGATATGACGTGAGAATTGTACTAATACGGACATGACAGCGGAGATTGCACCGTCAACGTTCTGGTTCAGCATCAAGGCTACCTACAATGTAGCCACCCCGAAGGACAATGCTCTTCCTTCTTCTGCTCTACTGCACTGCACAGGGGCTTGCCAATTATTTTGCATCCACCAGAACGGACGCCGCATCCAGCTGCATATCATTTCCGTGAGTGTGTTGTGTGTATGTCTGCGCGCGTGCGTGTGTGCGTGTGCTTGATGTTATGCAAACAATCTACAACTGACGGCTATGCATGATTTCCATGTACATACCTGCACATTTGTACAATGTAGGTTCTCAATGGAGCCGGGGCGAAAAATAGAACTGCACCTGGAATGAGGTCACGTGATTGTTATCATGCTAAATACATGTAATACTATGTTGGTGAGCGTTATGTTTTTGCTCATCTGGGCTGGTGAACGTAAAATAATTATAATGAATCTATCAAATCGAAAACTTCAAGCACAGCGAACACTGGTTTGTAAGTGCATTTCGTCGTATTTTACTTTTCCCGGCTGTACTTTCAGTGACTCTGCCTGTGGCGTCGAGTACAAAGTACATGACCTATAATAATATTGGCCGCCTGGTATGCCTGGTATGCCTGGTATGCCTGGTATGGTGCAAACAATTATTTCATGGCTACTATAAAGCCTCTTGTGCGGGCAAAAGGAACACAATGGATGAAAATCCAATACAAATGCAGACCCAGAAAACCAGAAAAAGGAACTCCTTCATACTTTTCTTCTCCAGTGTATGATTTATGATTTATTCCATTTTTAAACCATTGTGTTAATTTGCCCGTAAAAGAGGCCGAAACAAATTCATTCATACTTTTCATCATTTACATGTATTATCCCAGTTCTGCGCGCTTACAATATGCTCAAGCGCAGAGCTTTGCCCTAGACTATGTCTTTTTCTCTTTCTTTGCTCATCTATTGCTCATCACTTCTTTTACAGACTTGGTATTATGGAAAGTTGGGAAACCCCCTGGATAGGCGAAAGCCTTTGGGGAATCCTTAAACAATAAAAATACTCTTTGTCTTCACACCCATGGACCCAGCTACATTGCATACTTTGCATTCTATTCTCCATGTCACTAACACATATTCACACTTACAGACACAGCTCTCCACTTGTCTCCTTCGCTCCTTCCCATTCTACCAACACACTTCACCATTGCTGCTGGTAACCACACTTCTCGTGCTTTCCCTTCACGTCGCACTAACACATATTCACACTTACAGACACAGCTCTCCACTGGTCTCTTTCGCTCCTTCCCTTTCTACCAACACACTTCACCATTGCTGCTACCCTCCACACATACAAACATTTCCATCACTCCCGCACCACACAGTATATATACTCGTTTCAGTTTTTGTTGGCTTTAGTTGAATGGTTTTTCACCCTGAAGATGGGCCATGCCCGAAAATTTGGTGCATTCCATTTGTATCTAATATATATATATTTTTTGGAAGTGAAGTGAACTTATGCAGCGAAGAGACCGTAGTTGGAGAGTTTGAAGTGACGTACCCTGTAATAAAAATACACAATAATAAACAATAAAAATTGCATACCATTCATACGAAAAGCCTTCTACCTCAAATGGTCCTTTACAATGGACCTGTAGCAGGGTTTATCGGGTGTTAGCGGCCGTCGTGAGTTCCCTTCGGGAACGGATACGATAATTTACTTCTTTTTTTTTTTTTTTTGTAGCAGAGTTTGTGACGGTTCATCAATAGAGGTCTTGCCTATGGCGTCGAGCGCTACATGCCATGGTGCAGTACTGATATCACTGTCCCTGTCTGGTACTCAAACTCAAGCTTCAGCAGTGGGTGTCTGTAGGTGGCCCCAGTGCTTCGCCAACTTTTGCCATCGCAAACTAGTTGGTTCCAAGAAATCGCGACGATTTAGTGACGCGAATATTGGGCGGTTTACAGTATCCTGTTGCTAGCCCTGTGTTTTAGCCTTGATTCTGAGAAAACGTCACAGTGAACACCTGGACGACTGGTAGGCAGTCGCCATGTGCTATCCGGACTCAGAGCTTCTTGAAAACGGAACCTACATGGAGTCCTCGCGCTGTACAAACCGTGCCGGCCTACAACTCTACGTACAGAGCTCAGAGGAAAATTTCGAGAACTCAAGCCAAGCTAAGCCCAACACTACTTGACAGCAGCGTGAATACTCACTCGCTTCGTTTGCGCAATCAAGCACATGTCTTTGTAGAGGGGCCTTCCGGTTCAATATCCACTTACTATGCAAGTTGGGATAGTCTGGCATTTTCAGCCGCCTTTTTAGTCGCTAAAGAATGAATAGCAACTAATTATAGAGGCTGTCAGTTGACAAACCCCCTTTTATTTACAATGCAGTTGCGTGATGTCCACCACTATTTTTGTTGTTTTATGGTAAAACAATGATCTGCAAGTAGTGACAGCGATTCAGTAATAATTGCCTGTGAGCATGCTTTGATTTTGGATTTTTCCATTCATATTTCCGGATAATCATGGATTTTTGAATCTAGCACGTGACTATGTACTTGTAGGTACATGTAGTTGGTCACGGAAAGCCTGGCCCATCACAGCTGTGCATTGTGCATTTGATGCGCAGCCTACCATGCAGCGTACAGTACAGGATGCCGCTACACAACTCCACAGCCTGGCACCGTACAGTTATCGTAGTACAGTACAAGACTGCACTGTGCGCAGTCACACCCATCGCGGACCTGACTTGCAAGCTTGGAGCCGAGTTGTCCAGCTCCATGCTAACATAGCATGTATGACGCTACGGGCGGGGGAGCCATTCAATCGGAAGAAATTTTTATAGCCGCTCCCCTTGCGCTTCCCACCGAACTGGGCACACTAAGGAACTTGCACTGCTGCTAGTGGTAGGGTGTAGTGCACGAACACCACCGGCCTGTGTTGGTTCTGCTGAAGACCTCCACTCCATGTACCAGATCGCAGGCTGCATCTACCAACATTGTGCACGGAGGTGAATCACCACAGGACAGTTAGTTAGCCGTTAGCCAGCGTGGCAACCTCAGGCCCGCGGTCGCCATGAACTTCAAAGTGCTGCTCGTTACCCTGCTAGTCATTGCCCTACTCGCTGACTCCAGTGACGCCTGGAGTCGGAGACGCAGACGGCGTCGCACTTCGCGACGCAGACGAAGCTTCTTCAGGCGTCTGGGTAGCGCCATCGTGAGAGTATTCCGCCCGTGCCCTGTTGGCAGCAACTCGTACCCGTACGACAGACATCTAGCCAAGAAGATGATATGGTACAGCGCTATTGCCTATCACACGAGGACACCGCTCACGGGATGGCGTTGCCAGGCCTGCCAAAATGTTCTGGTCAAAGGCTTCAAGCTGCTTGAAAGAATCTACTTCAAACCCCTGCATCTGGTCGCATATGTTGGCTTCGACCCCAAGCTAAGCGCTCTTGTGGTTGCGTTCCGCGGCACAGATGGCCCGAATGCCAAAAACTGGTTCAAGGTTAATCTGAAGATCGGGAAACGGACGCCCACTGGCTTGTTTACGAGCGCTGGTAAGGTTCACCGTGGCTTCTACAATGCTTACATGGCGTTGCGCAGCCGTGTCTGGGATCTGGTACGCCGTGGTCGCGCCATGTACCGCACAAGCCGTGTATACGTCACAGGCCACTCCATGGGAGGCGCGCTGGCCGTGTTGGCGGCACTGGATCTAAAAGTCAACAGACGCATGGACGTCCGCATGATCAACTTCGGAGCGCCGCGCGTTGGCTCGCCATGCTTCGCAAGGTATTACAGCCAACGGCTCACAAACAGTCTGCGCATTGCTCACAAATGGGATCCGGTCACGCTGGTGCCGCTCGTACTCCAAGGATACCACCACGTACCCCGGTACCACAACGACCGCTCTTCCCTTGCCAACCACCTCAAGTATGAGAACGTCGTCCTTGCCAAAATCAGCTCGCGCAGGAAGCGCAAACGCCGTGACGTCACCATCACCATCACCGATCTCGCCCCGCACGAGAACCACCACAATAAGTACGCACATCATGACATCGTGTGATGACGTCATTACGAGGTAAAGTTAGTTCTAGCCGCCTCGCAGGCTGGCACTACCAGATCCGCCGAGTGCGTGTTTTTCTTTTACGATAATTATAATAATTATGGTGTATCCCGGGTGTGACAATTCGTGCGTCTGTCATTTCAGCAGTGAGCTGTGAAGTAGGTTTCTGTATCTGTGAATGGAGAACGGTTATATTTTACTGGTTAATTGTAACAAGAAAACTGTTCTGAACGAATCCTCAAGTTCCTTTTTGTTGTGTGCCCTGCAATCACCGTTTACTCAGGCATGTCGACATACTAGGAAAATTTCTTACAACTAGTCTTCCTTGTTGCTACATTCTAGGCTGCTGTCTCGGAAACGTTTAGTTAAATAAGCATCTGAGACTACTAGGCTTTGTCATAATCTTGTTCCAAACCGTTTTTTTTTGTTTCTTTCCGTGGATCTTACTTTTGCCCGTAGTCAACACTATGCTGATCAACCTGTTCGCTCATCGTGCCAAGGTCATTTGGAACGCATGACTGGATGTCTGCAACGCTATACATGTGACATGCCGCTGACTGCATGTACATTGTGTACTTTTATAATGAAGATCTGATGTTACAGTCAACTTCGCTTATAACGACACTCGGCAGGGTATCAAAAAAGTGTCCTTATTCGCAAAGTGTTGTTATACCCGAAGTCTCATTATAATTTGTATTATGTATTACAGTTGTATGGGACTTCGCTCTGGGCATGGACATTCTGTCGTTATTCGCGAATTGTCGTTATATCCGCAGTCGTTATTAGCCAAGTTGACTCTAATCAAACATTGTGCACTGTTGCTGGCATACGTGCTTTGACTTCTCCATTTGGCGCGACCTTGACTGATGAGCATCCATGATGCGCTATTTGAGGTGCCGCTTCTCGTTCCACTACCTTCCTATGGTGATTCTACAATGTATTATAAGTGTTTGGAAATCATTTACGAGTTCATGACGTCATGCACACCCAATCGTGTCTGGCAAATGACTTTGTGTGGAGTGCACGGACACATCTTACATACCGGGTAGCCCACTTTAAAACAGAATCACCAAAAGAAGGTAGTACACACACTGACATCCCCTCCCCAGCATCCCCCATGCAAACAACCCACCCCCAACACACACACACACACACACACACACACACACACACACACACACACACACACACACACACACACACACACACACACACACACACACACACACACACACACATCCTCTTCCACAGCACATAACACATAATTGATCGAACACTTCTGTATTGCTGAAACTGGAAGACCTGTCAACTCAATGGCACAGGTGATACATAACACGTGGCTGGTAAAGTAAAAAAAGTAAATTATCGTGTCCGTACCCGAAGGGAACTCACTGTGGCTGGTGGCCGTCGGCTGGTCGGCTGGTGGTCGTCGAAAATGCCTTGAGCAAAGCGATGGTAAATGTAGGAATTCTTTGAGGGGTTTGAGGTGGCTGGCAAGCCAATTGAATAACTTAACGTGTTTGGGGTTATTATGTGTGCAACGAGAGATGCATTCTCTCAGCAGCATATTAGTAACAGTTCAACTTCAACAACTGGCGAGTCCATGTATTGGGAGATTCCGGGCAGCATCTTATGCGTGGGAGTAAGTTCAGAAAAGGCGGAACGAGTGGGGTGGATTTGCCTCGTAATCATGCGCGTGCAAAGCCGCAAAGTGGAGTCTTCAAAGCTATCTTGAATTGTCTGATCTGCAAATTCTTATCCTCCTTTGAAACTTGGCACATCCTTGCAAGGTTCAGCAGGCAACGGAGCGGAATCAAGGCATAAGCCGTACTCGCAGGCACTCGTAGATATATCTGTAGAGCTCCTGAAATGAACACATAAAGTCGAAAGGACCACAAACATCCAAAGTCAATGCAATATTCAAAGTTGCAAAAGGAATAAGCAGACAAAAACAGTTTTTTTCCTTTTATTTTCATGAATTAAAGCGATCAGCAGTTAACAGCTGTTTTCTGATGATCTGTTTTCTGATAACTATTTTCTGATGATCACTCAGTGCGTGAAACTCGGAGTTAAATCAACTTTTTCATCTGCTTATTCTTGTTGAAATTAGCTCTGCCTTCCGGCGCTCAGTACTTTATTGGAGAGCCTGGAACCTCTCTATTTTACAATATTCAAATCATTAAGTCGTGTGCTCGTCTTTCCCTTGGCCGTGTTCGATTTGTTGAATGCTGGCCAAGATCCATAAGATTTGTCGTATTAGTGCAAGTTCGATGTATCGAGTGAAGATCAGGATTAGTTCGATGTATCGAATGAAGATCAGGATAAGTTCGATGTATCGAATGAAGATCAGGATTAGTGTGATGCATCAAACACAGATCAGGATTCAATGGGTTCGAATCTAAGCACTGGTAAAAATGATTTCAGCTGACCTAGGTCAGTTCACATCATTTTTACCTTTCTTTATTCGGACAATGTGTGTTCAAGAGGTCTCGGAATGCCTCCAGGATTGCGTTTCTAAACCCTCTAAGTTGCATCTAGGTGGAATCCGTCAGGAGAACTACCATCTAAAGGATTGTTTGATAATGGGCACATTTAGGGTGTTAACGTCACAAGAGGGATAGCATCCAGAGGCCGCTTGAGTTCCAAAAAGCGAAGCGTTTGGAATATCTTTGGTGAAATGCAGAACGATTTGTCTTTGCACATTTGGCTTAGACTACTGGTAGAGAATTTTGGACTCAGCTAGTTTAATCCTTTCCATGAAGAATGGAGCCATCAAGTGTACATACCTTGCTTGGTACGGTACCCATGCGCTGGGCTCTCAGGTTGAGGACAGCTTGGAGAACGTCAATCTGCTGAACATCCCGGTAATGCTCCAGGCACACAGCCACACTGACCAGCGTTCCACACAATGAGCTACCATCCCTGTAAGGAACAGTGCACACACGGAACAGGAGCGGTGGAAGCAGTTCTTCACTGGTCCAGCCATACACTAACTTTTCATACTGTATGGCAGGAAATTTTGGGACGGACTTATTTTCGGACAAAGCCAAAACTCGACCTTTCAGACGGATTTTATTCCCGTAGCTATGCAGAAGACGTTACTTCAGTAACGTCTGGCGCTAGCCAGGGTCCACAAAGCTTTAATTTGGTATTTGTGTGTTTGTTTGTGTGTTTGTTTGTGTGTTTGTTTGTTTGTTTGTGTCACGCCTGGCGCTATCCGTATCTGACGGCAAAAAAAGCATAGGATGTTATAAATTTTTCAATTCTCCTTTTTTTCAGGCATATCCTGGGATTCGAACCCGCACTATCGCCCTACATGCATTCCCCCATACACTTCGCATTCATACCCATTCTTCCAAGTTGCTTCACGTTATTATCTTACGTTTGAAAGCCCTATTTGAATATTGCGGGCAGCTGTATGTGGCCAGCTGTGTTGGATGGTACGGTACGGTACGGGAGACGGTGTCGTATTACCCTCAATCGTACCTGTCCCGTACCTATCCCCTACCGTACCGTGCCATCAAAGACGGCTGGCCACAATGCATATTCAAATAGGGCTTTCAAATGCGAGATCACAATGTGAAACAACTTGGAAGAATTAGTATGTATGCGAAGTGTATCGGGGGATGCATGCAGGGCGCGCGATAGTGCGGGTTCGAATCCCAGGTTATGTCTAAAAAAAAGGATTTTTTTAAAGAATTTATAACATCCCTATTAGGGGTGAAACGAGTATCTATTTTGACCAATCGATCACTCGTTCATAATATTCGATTGAGTATCCGATTATTTCGAGTATTTATCAAAATCCAAAAGCGCTAGATGTGTGAGTTCTCGACCAATTCGGGAGAAATTATCTGTGAACATAGAGCAAAAGTTGCTAACGTCTTGTACAGAGTGTAAAGTAAAGATTTTCATAAGTACTTTCATATCTCAGATCCTTACTTGCTGTGGTGATCGAATCGTCCAAGTCATAAAATACTGACTCAAAGGCATGCATAAGGCATGCATACCATGTACAGTGGACGAGCGGTATAACAACAGTTTTTGAAAAATAGAATGCCAATACGAAAAAAACAAAAACAAAAACAAAAAAACGATCGAGTGCAAAATTTCGAATACTCGCTCGTTCGAAATTTTCGAACGAATACTCGAATATTCGAACTAATCGTTTCACCCCTAATCCCTATGCTTTTTTTTGTCTAGGTCATCAAGGCAAAAAGCATAGCGTAGGGCCCTGAGCTTCCAAGCTCTCTCGTTTCCGGACAGTGCTGCGTGCTAACTGCACGTGTTCGCAAGCCGTACGCATGTACAGTGTACATAGTTTCACATGAACAAATTTTAGTATGGAATTAATTTTAGTACAAAAGAGGCCGTGTACGAAATCGTACGAAAATAAATTCTGTCGGAAAATGTCCTGCTATACAGTACTTTGTGCATACCGGTGACCTCCTCACCAGTAAACAAGGGGCGTCGGAAGCAGTTTAACATTGGTGCGGCCAAAGTGTGAGAGGGGGTCCGGGGGTTGTCCTCCGTGATTTTTTTTGAAAATGCCTAAAAGGCCATATTTTGGTGCTACTTCAAAAATTGAAATGTATCATTGTGTTAGTTCTGCCCATGCAAGAGGCCGGTTCCCGTCGAAAAAAGAAGAAAAAAAACTTCGAAAATTATTGGTGCGTGTTTGGCCACACCTGGCGCACCGGTTCCGACGCCCCTGTAAACACACGTTGGTGGCCAAAACGTTGGTTTGGCCATGGGCTGACCACCCGGATCGGTTTCGGCGGACCTGATGAATAACCTTCAATACTGGTCAGGGTGAGAGAGAGAGAGAGAGAGAGAGAGAGCTCCTGAAACATCTAAGTTTTGAACCTGCTTCTCGATATATTATTTTGCTGTGGTCTGCATGTCCTAATTTTATAAAACCATCCTGAATTTCAAATTCCCAATCCTTGGATCTTTCTCGGCGGCTCGAATGCGGCAAAGAAATGATAGCGCAGGTCACACAATGTAGGATTTAGTACTGATGTTTTCGCCGTATCTACAACTATACATGGGTGACACCAGAATTTTGAGACGCCAGTTTTCTATGACTGTACTGTAGGTACAATCATACCTCGGTTTTCAGGACCTGAAGTTACGGGCACTTCGGTCTACCGGACACCCTTTGGGAGAGTTTCAATGGAAACATTACGTGAAATATTACTTTTTGTCACTTTTTGTGTGTCACATGCCATATCTATAGCCTTTCCCCGACAAAATGTATTTGCTTTGGAGTTACGTGCATATCAAAGTTACGGGGCAGGGCCCGGTGCCGGACCGCCCGGATAAACGAGGCATTAATTTAGTTAATTTGACTTAGCAGGGCTAATCGGAACAAGAAAGCGGAACTGGAGAGCTCGAGCAGTTGTGTGGCAGTCCACTGCAAGCGTAAGAGGTAAGATTATCCCCAGATGTTCTAGCACACCAGCTTACCGACAGTGGAGAAGCACGGGAGCAGCCGACTCCGCCTCGGCCACATCACTCTGCACAGCACTGAGCATCATCAGCACATCTGCCGGGTTCGGGTAGGTCTGGACGTCAGTAGCTGTCCAGTGTGGCACGTGATAGATGATCAGGTTACGTTCTTCTTCAAACTGTCAAAAGTATTATGACCAAGACACGCAAACATCACAGAATACAAAAAGAGCGAGAATTCCCAGATTGGCTAGAGTGCTCCACACCAAAAGAATGCAGCAATACCACAAAAGCAGAAGAGAACAGAGAGTCTCTGTTCTCTTCTGCCTTTGTTCAAATATCACAGAATATGTTGCTGAACTCGACTCTTCCTTGATCGACATAAAATATCACACCAGCAGGCAGGCATGGGCCCGATTCCGAAGCTTATTGTCCATTGCTGCATAAGGTGCTAAACTATTTGGGTAATGTTGCGGTGATTTACTGCTTCACCCTGGCTGCTTGGCTCTGCTACTGTATGTGCCACTGCGCTATCTTGGTAAATTGATGGTCTGACACAAAACCCGCTTCCTAAGGGCTGGTTGTGTGCCTCAACACAATTGTATAGGCGGCTGGGTGTGGCTGAGTTCAGTAAAGAAAGCAATTCACCAATGTAACGGAGGGCATCCCAATAACTTTATGTACTCGTATGGAATATTGTCATATTTCCTGCAAACATTCATAAAAGAGATGAGAGTGAAGCCAGAGCAGTTCTCTTGCAATGTATAGAAGAATGGTACCATGACAACCATTGCCTTCCACTTAACAACTTGTATGGAGTGCAATGATGTCACACGGAACCAAAACTGCATTGACACTTACTCATACCTGCTCATGAGACAACTGGAGTGTGAGCCGTTGTACTGCTGCAGTTTTCGATGTATCACTGCCACACAGGACAGCTTCAGAGGACACCAGGTTCACAGAGTACGTCTCCAGTAGCAATGACTTCTGCACCACCTTGGGCCAGTACACTGCGCAGTCATCCTACACCGGATTGAAAGAGAGACACATGGAAGATACAGTGGGGAAACACATGGAAGATACAGTTGGGAACGTGCCGGAATGTGAAAGCCATTGTACGCTTTGTACAGCTATTTACTTTTTTTAATTTGAAGTATTTATACATTTTCTGCAAAACAAAAGAACACTGGTAAAGCTTTGGTGTCATAACTTTCAGCTCGTTAGATTTTATTCAGCATTCTATGGCATGACAGAGCCATTTTAAATAGGAAGGTAGATGAAAACAGTGCCATGACCTCTGGTCGAGAGTTTCCCACTGAAATGATTCTTCCATGCACTTATTCATCTGATTGCTATTACAGTCAACTTCGCTAATAACAACTGCGGATTTAACGACAATTCGCGAATAGCGACAGCATTTCCATGCCCAGAGCAAAGCCCCTTCCAACTGTAATGCAAATAATGAGACTTCGGGTATAATGACACTTCGCGAATAAGGACACTTTTTGATGCCCTGCCGAGTGTCGTTATAAGCGATGTTGACTGGACAGTGAACCCTCTCTAAGATGACCACTCAAAGCACCTACAAAACATGGTCTTTGTTACCAGGTGGTCTCCTTATCCAGGGTGATTTGGTTTTGAAATAGCGTCACTTGATCCTAATTGGAGTGGTCTTCCGGCACAGGTGGTTGCTTCGTCCGATATACCAACTGCGGTCGCCTTGACAGGTTTTAGTGTACATTCTGATCATACAATATCATCCTTGATTTTAGCTGTTTTTTATTTGCACTGTTCTAGCTCCTCTCTGCTTTAGGTAAACTAATTTCTCTTGCTCCTTCTCTCGATCTCCATATATCATAGAGATTTGAAAAGAACCCAACCACCAAAGGCACAAAACATACCTTCTTGTCTCCCGTCTCCATAGCAACAATGATGCATACACGCTCGCGCCAGATCATGTTCCAGAAAATAGCACTGGTCTTCTTGGTCGGTGTTTCAGCAGTGATGAAACCCTGTCTGGTGTTCCAAGACTGACAAAGTACAGACCAATACACACATACATGTAGAGTCAGTCATGACATCTGGAAACTGTCCGTGTACAATCATGGCCAGAGACTTCCGGCCTACGAGCTGAACACAGTGACAAGACTCATGCAGCCACTGCGGCCCTCTAATGGTTTCTTGGGATCTTAAATGGAAGGCTGCGCTACTTTTGACTCGTGGGTCTTTCATTTGGCCAACACAGTACAATTGAATTCCCTATATGGGTGTTGGAAGAGTATGTAGGCATCATCATTAAGGACAATGTTGGCTGTGTTGCTTGCACTGGTTCAACTGTGAGTGCATCAACATACAGCACATTGACATCTCTATGCGTTATAGTGTGACCCTCTAGCCCAGACTGGACGCCAATGGTTCTAACGGTCTTTTCGGCACAGTTCGCGACATACTGAATAGCAGGAAATGTTCGGATGGAATCAATTTTCGTACGATTTCGTACACGGCCTCTTTTGTACTAAAATGAATTCCGTACTAAAATTTGTTCATGTGAAATTATGTACCCTACACGTGATGTACATCATGAACCGGCTCCCGTTCAGGACTAGTGGGTACGCGTAGTGTATGTGGCGCAGTGCAGTTCATAGTACAGCTTGCTAGCCATAACATGCATGCACTATGCGCCTTGGCATGCGCGTACTGCATGCGAAGCACGTGCATTAAACACGCAGCACTGTACGAAAATAGAATCCGTACGAAAGGTTGAAATTCGGCTTTGTCCGGAAATAGTCCCGTCCGAAAATGTCCTGCTATACAGTAATGGTTGTCTAGTAAATGATGTTGTTATTCATCATCAACTGTACTTATATGGAAACAGATGAGGTCATACTGTTTGCACTTACATCAATATAGGATGCATTGATGTAGTCGGAACCGTCGACTCCCGGTATTGGTTGCAGCCGCACTCTGTTATGGTTGTCTGCAGTAGGAACAGTGCGGGGAAAGCCAATTCACTGTAAGCAATGAACGCTGAAGAGCAAGAACGTTCGCCTAGCAATCACAGCCAGGCTCACTCCACATACCGGTATCCTTATCCTAGCACCTGCATGTAATGACTGATGAGTGTTGGATAACAAGTTTCCAGATTTTTTGTATTGTATTGTATTTTATTATTTTACTTGGGCATTCCCAACAGACCCTAAGATCTTCTTACAGGGTGGCCAAGATGAATGATGTGTTTCCTCTTCTGCCAAATCTTGGATGGTGAGATTGTTCCATAGATACATAACTTCTTTCAGAAAACTCAATGTGCATATAGTGAGTGGTATAGTGTTATGTCAACAGGGACCACCTTGCTTTATCTTGGAATACCGCCATCGCAGCATGTTTGCAAGGATCTTATTATCATTGAACATGTTTCTCTACATCCTGTGCGTCACCAAGCTTGTATCTGGCAATATGTTATGCACTTTGACACCAGCATCGTCCATTGGTGAAATATCTTGGGCCCCGAATGAAAATTGAGACAAGAAAATTAACATTCTCCAAACAATGCGATCCAGGCACAATCAAATTGATATCCGCGAATGCTCTTCTTTTTCTTTCTTTTTTACTAATAAACACAGCCCTTACATGGAATGTTGCTGGTTCTTGTGCGGTCCTTGATCAACGTACCCTGCTTCAGTGGTAGCTTGAAATCAGATGATTGCAGTAGCTGGAGAAAACGCACACACCATTAAACAGTACGAGTACGTTCTGAAGAGTAAAACTGATAGAACAGTTTCGTCTGTCAGTTATACTGTTGACAGAGTTTTAACCCATTCACCGCTAAGGACGTATATTTGCGTCCTTGAGAATGACGCCCAGCCACTAAGAACGTATATTAGAGAGATTGTGCACAACGAAAATTCATAGCGCCGTAACGAATATTTAACGAAAGAAGCTAACGAATATTCGTAAACCGTGAGGTTGTGCACAACTCGTGAAGTTTTTCGTAGTGGGTCGACGCGGCGGCCGCGAGGGTGTGAAGAGTCAAGACAGGGAGTTGTAAAACATCAGTATTTTAGTACTCCAGGTGAAGAAAAATATTTTCGTAGATCTGCTCTGTTTCGGTCGTGTTTGGACGGATCTTCGTAGCAACTTTCGTTTGGCCGCGGTCACACAAAACAAGCTCAATTCAGCTTGTGCTGAAAGTGGCTTGTGCTGAATAAAGCGGTTGGTCACATCGGCCCATGAGATCCGCTGAATTGTAGAGGTTTTTTCTTCGCGTTCGTTTTTGAATTTGAAATGGGCAGAAGCTTAGGATACTGTGTGATTTGTTCTTAGTGTTTTGTATTTGTTGAGGTATCTGGGCTAAAATGGACAACATCCCAACAGTTTCTCCATTCAGTGCAAATGCTGGCATACAACAGGATATGCCTGAAAATCCTACACCATATGACTATGCCAAGCTATTTCTTACCGAAGAGTTCTTCCAGCTGCTTGTCATAGAAACAAATCGGTTCGCAAATCAGTACCTGACCAAAGCATCGTGATAATCTCCCAGAGCACACACGCCAGAAGATGGATTCCAGTCACCGCTCCGGAAATGAGGGTATTTCTCGCACTCTACTTGAACTTGGGATTGATAGTGAAGCCAGAGATCGACTTGTATTGGACAGAAGATCCTTTGCTCTCAACTCGTATTTACAGTCAGTCCCTGGCACGAGACAGATAGCTTATGATTCTACAATGTCTTCATTTTGCTGGCAATGAACATCTAGATGTGCAAGACAAGCTCGCTAAGCTTCGTCCGCTGATTGACCCAATGGTGTCCAGATTCGTAGATGCATATAGTCCCCATGAACATATTTCCATTGATGAGGAGCTGTTAGCCTGGCTCGGGAGACTTCAATTCCGTCAGTATGTTCCTTCCAAGCGTGCGCGCTTTGGCGTAAAAGTAATCGCTCTGTGTGAGTCTACTGGCTACATGGTCTGCTTCATCATTTACGTTGGACATGACGACACCTTTCCAGCTGATATAGTTCGCAAACTAAGGAAGTCTGGGGCGGTTGTCGCCAAACTTATGGAATCAATGGAGAATACGGGCTACTAGCTATTTATTGATATCTGCTATTCAAGTATTGAACTTCCCCAATATCGGGCTGAGCTTGGCACATCTGCGTGTGGAACCGTTCGCAAAAACCGGCGGAGCTTGCTGAAGAGAGCAATTACAAGCTGGCCAAGGGTGAGTTTATTCACAGCAGCAGCAGCAATCGTCTGATGTTCGTTAAGCTTAAGGATACGAAATCAGTTCATTTCCTCACCACCATTCATGGACCGATCATCACCGACACCAGGAAACGCGACCGAGGTGGCAAGTCTATCAAAAAGCTAACAGGTGTTCACGACTACAACCTGAACATGGGCGGAGTGGACAGAAACGGTGGTATGATATCATTTTACACCGCCACCAGGAAAACCCAGAAGCGATATAAAAAGTTGCAACCCATATTATGGAAGAAGGCCCAACGTACCGTCGCGAAAAGCACACTGACTTTCTCTGGTCTGTCTACAACTCACTACTTGGTGAAGGCAAACGTCAGCTAGCAGCACAGGCCCATCAGAACCCTGCCACACCTGTACCAGCTCACTATGCATTAGCCCAGCACCAGCCAGAGAAAATTCCTGGGACACCGTGCAGGTCGAATTCGCAGAAAGAATGCTGCGCGTGCGCCAAGTCTGGCCCCGGTCCCGATGCGCGGTTTCAGTGTCCGGCCTGTCCCGGGAAACCAGTGCTTCGCATAGTGCGATGCTTTGTCAAGCACCACAGGCTGTGAACATATACAGCAAACCTCAATGGGTAGCCATTTCCATATTGCAAGCAAACCCTTGATCCAACGGAAAATCCTCACGGACATGGAAGATTTTATATGTTGTTGTCACATGGATGGTTTTAACTCTATCTATTATACATGTTGGTGCGCAGGCACTAATATGACATAACCTGTGGCATAATTATCTTTGCTAAGCCCATGCGAAACTGTTTGCTTAGCCTCGCTTACAACTGTGGAAGGCAATGTAAGTGTCAAAGGGAATTATACTAAATTCCGCAAAACATTGATAAACAAACAAACCCTGTCGACAACTGTCTAGTGTGTTTGGGGGTGAATTTTTTTTCCGACAGCTTAGTGGCACTCTGAGTTGAAAACAGAGCAATATCTGTCAAATTCAGAATTTTCGTTTTTGGCCAAAATGCCCTAGTGGACGGGCGTCGAGGTCTGGCAGTGGTAAAAGGACTAAAAGAGCGGACAGGGCGAATTTTCAAGTGCAAGACAGACGAGACATCAATCTCTTGCTGTATTCATTTCATCTACATCTCGCAGGACACATAACCCAAATCTCCGACCTAAAATAATAAAGGTTTCAGCTTGACAATGAGCTCAAAGATATCAAGATTGAAAAAGTCACGTAACTCGCACCCATGTGTTTTTTTTATATTTTTTGCATTTTTAGCTTCACCAGCAAAGGTCCCTGGTTCGAGTCCTGTTGGTGATAGTCAATTTTTTGTTCAGACTTTCACTCAGACTAATGAATATTTTAGCTTGTGGCTGCGCTGTCAAGTGACTTACCTCGAACTCGGAAAATGCATTGCACGATGTGCCGCTATCCATCGTAAGGCAATCTTCAATATCCATCGCAATGCCGTCGCCGCCAACCGCAGTACTGCCGTAGTGTACTGCATCTTGTATAGCACAGTGCAGGAAGAAATATTGCTCCTGGATAGGGTAGAAACACAAATAGACCGATTATTGTAACATGGAAATTGTGGGCACAAGTTATACGATCGAGTCCACCAACTAAACCAGATTTTGAACAGTCAGACGTGCACAATCTAGCACAAAACTGACAAGGAGTACCGAGACATTCTACGGCATGAAAGTCAACTTGATATACTGATTATTGTGTCTTACAATACTGTAGTGCTGGTCAATAAAGTCCGATCGTGTGAGGCAAGTACGTCCCAAGCACTGTGCAGCTCTAGCCGTGCAACCATTGGGATTTTCACCACAACAGGGTGCAGAGCTGACTACCTTGATCAGGTTTCATTGAGCAGTAATGTTAGAGAAAGATGTTGGACTTGGAAAACATTACTGGTGAAATGGCAGTAAAACATGCACATGCAAACACAACGCTTTCATCATGGCAATACATGCGGAAGTGATGAAGAGAAGAGCCCAACACGTATGTGTAAACGCTGTGTCTCAATGATTGAGTCTGCATCACTAACCTTGGTCTGCACCATGGTAGATCTCTGTCCTCTCATTCCCAGTACATAGGTATAGGGATCCAGTGCACCCGTAGCATGTGCTTGTCGTAGCTGTGAGTCTATGGCAATCAGTGTGCCTGTTCGTCCAATACCAGCACTAAATAAAAAGTACACACACACACGTCCACACAAGCATACAAGCATGCATGTATGCATGTACACGCATAGGCCACAAACACACATACAGATATTGACACACATGGACATACACACACACACACACACACACACACACACACACACACACACACACACACAAACACACACACACACACACACACACAAACACACACACACACAAACACACACACACACACACACACACACACACACACACACACACACACACACACATATATACACCAACCTTAACCCTTTCAGTGCCAAGCACGAGATAACTCGTCCTACAGACCCCCACGCGAGTGGCCAAGGACGAGTTATCTCGTCCTCGTAGTGCGCACTACTATATCTCACCGGCCATGCGCTACGATCTAGCTAGACCGAGTGTGGCTCTTCGAGGGGAAACTAGGGAGTTTCCCCGACTGAATGAGACCTCACTCGCCGTGTCTGAGTAAGTATGGGCGCGGGAGCATACATTCAGAGCGCGTGCTAAAAACATATTTCGATTCAGAAACAATAGACCGATCCCCTTATTGTACTGGGTTCGAGCACGGGGGCAACCTCACTCGCGATCGAGCTAGTTTTTGAACGTGACAGCATCTTTGACAGTGTGTTTCAGGTTTGTTTTGGAATGTCTTCTGCTTAGTTCAAGTGGTTTGCGATGGCTTCGAGCGGTGCTGAACCTCCTGCTGGTAGGAGCAGAGTCTTCGAGAGAGACATGGACTGTGATGCAGCTGCAGGATTTTTTCAAGGCGCGGGAGAGAACGATCTCGGGCCACAAACAGGAGTTACTCCAGAGGTGAGTTTTTTTGTTGTTGGTATTTATATTCGAATCGCGAATCGTGTTGTGAGATTTATTTTGTGCCTAGGCTACAGCAGACCGTATTTCTTTCTCCTTGAGATCGGTGCTGAAGATAATAGTAACCTTTTTCTGGTCTGCCTTTTCCTCTCCAGAGCTTCTATGAAGGTAACCGTGGTGCTGCGAAGTCACCAAGTCGCGATCGCGATCAGCAGCCCTGAAGTGGAAAAATCGATTTTCCAACGATCTGGTTGGAAATCAGCCACTAAAGTACTTCTGATTTGCCTGTAGTGACAACAGCAGCCATCCTTGGACACCTTGCAAAGACAGGAAAAGCCACTGGTGGAAGCGACTGCTATGAGGTGACGATAGCAGTGGTGATCGCTGTTTTGTCAAGTCGAAGGGCTAGCCAACCCAGAGGAAGCATAAAAAAAAAACGATGAGCAGTGCGTGGTATTTGTTGAGCGTGAAGAGCTAGATTATAGAGGAGGACAGTGCAAACACATGGAAGGAGTGGATGGTGTTTGAAGTGCTGTGTGCCGGCTGGTGGTGATGGTGGTCTTTGTAAGCATGTATTCGTGCTGCTTCTTGTGCTGGAACACTTCTCGCCCAGGAAGGCAGATTGCGTGCTCCCTGGCCCGCAGTCGGCAATGGGGCATTTGTTCCAGGAACATTACCCCAGAGCCAGTGATGAGTCGTACCTTTGAAAGATCGAAGCTTGCTGTTAATCGCAAGCGTAGCGCAGTGGATTGCTCCCTCTTCGAAGTACGATGGCCAAAGCTTGCCGCTGTCTGCAACAAAGTGTGTGTTCGGTTCTTTCGAACAAGTATGAGTATGAATATACCCCCCCCCCCCTCTCTCTCTCTCTTAGGAAGACTGCATGTTCAGAGTGAACTATTTTCTAGTATATTTAATGTGAGACGGGCTGTTTACGCCCAAGATCAAGATACAGTTTTTTTCTGTTTCTATACCTTCCTAATAAAATACATTGTGACAGAGCTTTCAGTCATACTCCGCTGTACTACATCCTCAACCCGCCACCACCATGCGCTCTTGGCCGAACTAATGCACGAAGCATAAACACACCAGCACAGCAAGGACACTTCCGTTGACAGATATTGTTTACGCCTCAAGACAGCTGTTTCGTTTCTTCGAGCTCATCGTTAGAGGAGGATAGTAGCAGGATATTAATGATGATATAATATAAGATGATAGACGGTTTATGGTCCGATATTGATGATTGGAGATCTAAGAAAGCAATGACAGTGATTGCGAAATGGATAATATTATCATGATTATATGCCAGTCTGGTAATGCGTTGTACTGGTGGACAGTATTGAAATCATCACTGCATTCAATGCAAATATTGGTATACCTTGGTTTCAGTATTGGAAAAAAAGAGTAAGAGAACCTGGTTGATTTGGTTGCATCTGCGACTGGCTACTGGGTGTTGTGATCAGCAATGTTACCATGGGAGAAAATACGAGCGCAAGGATCTGTTGGGTCTTGTTGTGCCGTGCCGGTGCGAGAACCCTAAGTGCATGGCAAAATAGAACTGTTTCATCCACAATGCAGAATGTCTTGCGGTGCATGGCATCGATGACTGAACATCTCGCCAGCTCGCCCAAATGGGGATCATGCCCAAACGGAGGAACAAGACATCTTTCCAGCTCAGCTAGCTATATACCGTGAAACGGATGATTAACTTGTGCCACGCATGCCAGCTTCTGTTCCATTCGGCCCAGGCTTCGACAGATCAATGCCAATAGCAGCTGATCCTCCATTACATGCTCATTGGCGATTTACGGCCACCTCCAACTGTATCCGCCGTCCCTCAGTTTCCGTCTTCGCAGATCTGGCGCGGCGCAGTACATTTTCTCGGCTAGGCTCAAAGAAGTCCCACAGAGCAGTCCAAACACCTGAAGGCAAACCAGTCAGAAACTGGAGCGGCTCAGAGTCTTTCTTTATGTTACTGTACGTAAGCTGTTTTTCGGCTTTCTTCACCCCAGTCCTCACATCGTCCAACTGCTCCACGAGACTCTGTACACGAGCTCTACTTGCTGCCAGCTCCTGATGCAGATGCTGCACTTCCATTACAGGACCAAACTGCACTAAGCCAGCTTCCTTTCCAACTCAAAGTACCGTTGCCTCTCAGCAAAATACTGGTTTGGGAGCATGGGGAGCTCGTGATGCAGACGCTGCACTTCCATGACCGAACTGCACTAGGCTCAGCAAATACTGTTTTGCGAGCATGGGGAGCAGGGCGTCCAGACTCCACTCTCTTGCGAAAAGCAAACCTGGTACCGTAGGACAGCTGTTCGGGTTCCTGGACTCATCCTGCCCTTGTAGAGCTGGGCAAAACGATTTCGATTTCGGGATCGAAATGATCGCTGCAACTATTCAGAGTGACCCTAAAACTACGCCCTTCCTCACGGGGCATAGCCTGGATCCGCTGCTCCAGGCCGCTGTGGCTCCACACGAGGAAAGGAGTGAAATGACTTGTTTGCATCGTCCTCCTGTTCTGACAGTGAGGAACGCAGCAATGATCCTGAGAAGGCATCCTGAAGTCGTAAAAAGGAAGACGTCTGAACAAAAACAAAACAGCTCAAAGTCCTTGTGACATTTTTGTAGACAGGCTTGCACTGCATGTAGATTTCACGTGCTCTGCACTTCGCATGCGAGAAGTCGCGCACGGCCGAGGTGAGGTTGGTCGCGTGTGTGCAGCAGGATCCCACGCGACTGCGGAGTTGCCCCCTTGCTCGAACCCAGACAATAATAAGGGGATCGGTCTATTTGATTGACGGAACGTACTTCAGGTCTTTCTAGCTGTCAGTCAGACATGGCGAGTCGCCGCATGTCGGCTGAGGAGGTGCTCCAGTCCATCATGGACTCTGACAGTGATGACTGGAGCTGCAATAGTGAAGGCGATGACTCGGATGCGGACATAGCCGTTCGCGATCGTGACGGAACTAATTCTGCGGATGAGTCCGCCGTGGTCGATGTCGCACCCGCTGCCGTTGTCGCCTTGGACGGCCCTGAGGATGTCGGAGATGTCAATGTCGAGCTTCAGCAGGGCGCAGCGACACAAGCTACGCCAGCGCAGGTCGCAGACACGAACGCTGGTCATGAAGATATATTTGTCGATGCACAAACTTGTGTACACGGACCAGACAATTCTCCTGCAGCACGTGACGATGCAGCTTGGAGGAAAAGAAATGACAAACCGACTATTCCTGAATTCTCTGCACGGCCTGGCATCACAGTACAGCCACCAGAAGATGCCACACCATACTGGTTTGTGAACCTTTATTTTGTACTGGAATTCTGGCAACTGCTCGTCACCGAAACGAACCGGTATGCGGCGCAGTGCATAGCCCGTTCCATTGCCGGGCCATTTTCCAGGCTGCGCTCCTGGGTGCCAGTGACAGTGCCAGAGATGAAGATATTTATTGCCCTGTACTTACTGAGTGGTCTGGTGTACAAGTCCCAAATGAACCTATTATTGGAGCTCTGATGCTACGATCGGCACACCTGGATTTCCGGCCCTCATGACGCGCAACCGTTTCCAACTCATAATGCAATGCCTGCACTTCTGGAACAATGAAGCCGATAACCAGGATGGCCGTCTGAGAAAGGTAAAGCCATTATTCGATTTACTTGTGGGCCGCTTCAAGCACGTGTACATACCAAAACGCCAGATATGTGTTGATGAAGAACTGATTTTGTTCAAAGGGCGATTGGGTATCAAACAATATAATACCGAACAAGCGGTCCCATTTCGGTATCAAGATTTTTGCCCTGTGCTGCACATCAGGTTATTGCTGGAATGCATCCATCTATGATGGGAAGCTGACTGTGCCACTACCTATGACAGACGATTGTCAATGAGGCACTGTTTATATTATGGTATGGACACTATCAGACAGCTATATACAATATGCGATGAGATGCAATAAAATTATATGTAACACATTTTAGCGCAATTAGCTAAAAAGTGCTGTTTTAGTTTTGCTCAGAAACACACCTTTTATATGCTGTAGAGCCTTCAAAATTTGTGGAATCTCTCAAAACATGTCCCTTTCCATGAAACAAGTCGGTTTGAGTTGCTACGACTAATTTGAAAAAAATCAGATTTTTCATGAAAATGGCCCGGCCAACCACGTGCATCTGGCCTGCTGGCACTGAAAGGGTTAAAAACCTATGACAACAAGACTTGTCATCCGGTTTTTTCTCATCACCCTCCTCTCCTGTCCTGCCCATTGCGAACCCCAAAGTCCAATCCCACAAAACCCACACAGGTGATGATTATACTGGTCTCATTGAATCCTCGCCTGACATAAGATCTGGTGGACTTTAAACTATGGTATTCCTGACATAAATGAGCAATCCCTTCTCTTATCGATTATTGCAGTTCAACAAATATTCGCCGCATATATATTTTCAGCTATTTTCGGCCTGATCATATTAGGCCGAAAATTTGTTGCAGCCGAAATTTGGTTTTGCAAGATTTAGTGTGACAGTGTATACAGGCCGCAGCAGTACAGGCCGAAAATTCGATCTGGCTGAAATGGGTTTTAGCCCTGAGAGGCCGAAGTTTGAATGGGCCGAACATTAGTAGTCTTACAGTACAGCCATGCCCATGCTGTAAGAACGGCAATGCCGTTTATGCATAAAACATGGCCGCCACCTTCCTGAGGGCGACTTGTCCTATATTTGGCAGGTACAGCAAGTTGTAGTACATTTGTGGGTATGAACGTACACAGTTTATGACCTTTGATGCAGTATTGGTATCACAGTGTGTACCGTTATAGTGGACTTGCCCCTGAAGACCACATGGCGGGCAGTATTCTGCATAAGCACCATTGCTCACCTGCAGTGCATCACAATCGGACAACCAGGGCAGGAGTTGTGAGGCTGGTGATGACGCACACGCCGCAGGAATGACAGCAGTGGCGCCGTCAGCAGTGGCACACCGTAGTCGGGCCACGACGTGAAGTGGAACTGGGTGACTATGCGCTCAGTGCCGACCAATTCCGATTCCGGTAGATCACTCTAGGAATAGAACAGAATACACCAGATCAAGGCATTTTCGCGGATAACCCTACTAAGAAAGTGAAGATTGTTTTTGCTCAGTTTGTCAGCACAATCTGTAAAAACCAGAGCGCTTCCGAAAATCAAGTGGCAGCCCTGATGTTGGCCGTTCAGACATCCAGCTCAGGAGATTGCCCAATTAAAAGTGACAAGCTAGAATCAGAATGATCATTAGAGATTTCCTGTTCTGCATTACAGGAAAGGATCACACGGTCACTATTTTCGTTCCCATAACATATGTTATTTATGAACGTTCCACATGTTTGCATGTCACTTACCTTCACAAGCTTGAATGTTCGGATTGTGTAATCACTCGTCTCCTTCACGCCGGAGGCTGTCACGGAGATATCGCCGTAGCAACGCGTACCAGTATTGGGCCAATACTGGTTGCACTTCACCTGCGGCGAATTCCAACGCAAGACAGAAAGCAATCCCTTACATTAGAGTTACCTACACAGGATTACAATAACTTGCCTTAGAGAAAGTCCAACCCTTTCTTACACCAGATTCTATATTTTGCAATCATGTAACCGAGTTCAAGTATGCCTAGCCGTGGCAAGAAAGAGGTGTGTTATTACAGAGTCTAGAAAAAATGTAATAATGCGCCGTTCACTTTAGACTGGGAAAGAGGTCGCTCTTTCCACATCTCCTACCACCCTCAGTGATCAAGATGCAGAAGCAGCTCCTAAGGCGATACGGGGGTAGGGGGCAGAGTCTAGAATATGCAGTATAATTGAAACGTAGCATGTACTTCACAATGAACCATTTTGCCTTCCCACACACCCCTCCCCTCCGGCCCGCAACTGCACTCAACATGGAATCAAGATATTCTGAGTTGTGCGGAGTCAATGTACCTTTGCCCTCTCCTCTAGCCTGGTCAGCATTGTGATGGTTTTCACGTTGTCTTTCCAGACCATGCACCAGAAATCATCACACGTGTTGCCTTGAGGGCCTAGAAAATGCGGCAGAAGAAACCCAGGGAGAGACATGTACATGCATGTTCATGAATTCCAATGAAAATTAAATAGAGTGGAATGCGATCGAGTACAAGCATGCTGTGGAGGGTTAGGGGCGGGGGGAGGCCTCTTTCCCTGTTGTGTATGGGAAGTGACTTGGTGTCTGCTGTGCCATCAAAACACAATCAAAACCATCGTCTGAGTTCTGAAAAAACATCATCAGGTAGATTATTTGTACGCTGGCCCAACGCTGGCCCGCAAACAAAAGGCGTACTGGAAACCTTTACAATCTACACCAGATTGGCATCAGACGTTGGGAAAATACACTGGTGAAGAATCCAGGCTATATATACGTATTTGGAATGCCAAGCAGAACATGTATTATTGGTCAGCTCTCACCTTGGGTGGCAATGTACTCGCGCTTGCATTCAAATCCCTGGAAGGACAGAGGAGCATGGTATCAGTTAGATACACGGAGGTCATGAAATTGTCAAGAGTAGTATCATCGTTCGGAATGAAGACAGAAGTACATTATGTTAAGAGGTCCATATTACAGCTCTGTGTTGGTCATGAGTTCTTATAAAGCCAGAACTGTGAGAGAATGATTTGGCCACCAGGACAGCAAAAAATGGTAGTGCATGCAGAGTCTGTTCCTCTTATAAATAAATTCTTCAGTAGAGAATCATATATTGGGTCAGCACATATCCCAAACCAACACACTTGGCGAACATCATAATTACATGCTTTGCAACCCAGGTACTTTGAAGTATAACAACAGTGCAGCGAGTAAATCAGGTAAGGATGGTACACTGTGGCGATGCAGGGCAAGGACATGTATCGGCACGTCCAGCTTACATCAATGTAGTTGGCATTGATGTAGTCCGAGCCTGGTTTGTCATCAACCCTGGGCAGGACTACGCGAGTGTCGTCAGCTATGCACCCAGTAAAAACACAGCACAGCACAGCATGATGCGGGCAAATCTTGGCACAAAGAGTTGCCCCAGTCATGCACAGTGCTAACACTAAAAGTAGCTTGGCACTGATGGCTTGGGGACATATAAAGGCCATACACGTATCTCATAATCAACTATCGCTCGCCGTTCCCCCTTTTTAAACTTTTGCATTCTATGCTATCTATTGTGTATTGACTTGGATCGACAAGCATGGCATGAAACACCCTAAATGCCCTGCTATCTGTGGAAGTATCAGTATATGCATCGAAGAACGGTTTTGACCAGCTAAATAGAACAAATAAAATTCTTTACTCCTCAGGTTTAGCACTTACCAGCGAACACATTGGCGTAGCGGTTCTTATCCTCCACTTCTGGCCGTTGCGAATAGACAGCATCCAGCAGTGGGGATCTCTTTGTGAGGATCTTGAAAGAAAATAGAGAAGCACGAAGCAAGCCATTCATGAGTTAAGTTTAAATCGAAAGGAGGAAAGATTGACTGCTACCATCTGCAATCCAACCAGGGATCCCTGCAACCGGCCAGTAATGCTTTACCACTAGATTTTGGTGTGGTGGTCTTCCCAGCAGTGACCAATCGAAATTCTCTTCAGACTTTATAGCTCATGGATCCTGTGAATCCAGACCGGTCATCCGTCATGGTCATACAGTCATTTCAACTTTGCGTATAACGACGCTCCGCGGGGCGTCAGAAAAGTGTCCTCGTTCACAAAGTGTCCTTTGACCCGAAGTATATGATGAGTGTTTTTTGAAACACGAATTGTCGTTATATCCGCAGTCGTTATTAGCGAAGTTGACTGTATACAGAAAAGATAGGAGGGTAGGCACACCCGGTTGGCCTTCCGAGTGTACTGAGCATAAATATTACAAGCCACAGCACCCACTCCTATGTCAAGCATGCCAATGTTACGAATCCCTCACACTGGAAGGAAGAGAAAGACTTGACATGTTCACAGCATTGCAGCATTGCTCATGCATGATGTTCACATCCACATTACTAGCGGATAGAGTCGTGTACTATTGCAGTTACCACGATGAACGCCATTTTGTCTGTTCAACGGTGATTTGTGAAGGCGCAATGATGCATTTCACATCGGCACCGCCATGCTGATCATTAGCAAAGAGACACTGGAAACCGCCTAATATTCGCGTCACCAAATCATTGCGATCTCTCAGAACCAGCGAGTTTACGATGGCAAATGTTTGCGGATCACTGTGGCCACACACATACACAAACTGTTCAATTGCACGATGGTTGATATTCGCGTTACACTCTGCTCGCAACATTAGCAAACATTAAATAATACGCCGCAAACATTAGGCTGTTTAAAGTATACTAGGCTCTGTGCTGGACTTCCATCATCCATACCTCATACTCCCGCTCGAATCGGAAACACTCATTCTTCCGCTGTCTTTCCACGTAACGAGAAAAGTGCTCTACTGCGATCGGCTTCCTTCTCTTGTATTCACCTGCTCATATTCACATGCAATCACGCACCCACACACCGACAGAAGAACATGCACACAGACAGGTGCACAAACACACATGCACACGCACACACACACACACACCACACACACACCACCCACCACACACACACCACCCAGCACACACACCACACACACACAGCACCCACCACACACAGCACCCAGCACACACACACACACCACCCAGCACACACAGCACCCAGCACACACACACACACACCACCCAGCACACACACCACCCAGCACACACACACACCACACACACACACACACCCCCCAGCACACACACACGCACGCACGCACACCTACTAGTACCAGCTGATGATTAATATATTGTCACATATGCTTAACTCTGGTTGAACATTTGTAAGATAGAGGATACTTTGATATGATGTGTATAATTCGTCCCTTCCCCGCCCTCTAAACTGCCCCTCTCCCCCCCCCCCCCGCGGCAAATTCAAGCTTACTTTCGAAATCCGTGGACGAAAAGCGCTTCATTCGATCGAGCTCGGATTCCTGGTGGCTAGCTGATGATTGGCTGGTGGTAACCGTGGAGGTATCCATGGAGTCCTCCATGAACTTCTGATTGAGAGGGTTTACCATTACTAAGGCTGCGGGGGTGCTAGGTGTACGGGCTTTGCTCTGCAAAACAAAAAAACAAATGTGGAGTGATGAAAAGGTATGCAAGAATGGAGAGCCAAGGATAAATTTATAGTAAAGGAAAAAGGACCAAGAAACAGCAAGTTACGCTCTAATGTCCACTAACACCACCAGTTACTAGAGGATCATGATGTGCTAGAGCTGTTAGCCAGTTAGTTGTAGAATTCAGTACCGTCGGTCAGTGTCATGCAGTGTTATCGCATGACTTGATTGTTTAGTAACTGGTGGTGTTAGTGGACATTAGAACGTACCTTGCAGTTTCTTGGTCCTTTTTTCTTTACTATGAAATTGAAAAAAAATGCTGCAATGACTTAGTTGGGGATATGAATACGAGGCTTGTCCAATTTTATGCTTTGCTTATAATAAAAACAACTAATCAAAGTCAAGCAGATTGACTTCTGCAGGAATGCCACCGTCTCATGAATCGATTGCAAAAGTTGTAGCATCCTTGAGTGCTTCTGTAGAATGTTGTTCTCCATGCAAGTAGCCTGTTAGGCCAGCAGTGCTATAAAAATGCACAGGACAGCGGTAACACTTAGTCACCCCACTACCCAGACACATCTACTGCCTGTCTGAATATCATATCTCTGCTCAAGAGAATATAAGGGAAATATTGCTCCACATAGTGCGCAGACAGGGGCAAAACCAAACATGTATAACAAATTTACTGTAAAACCGGAATATTTCGGTGGAGATATATTTTCGGTAACTTCGGTACCTACCATAAAACGTGACCTAAATTCAACCATGCCATGTCACACAGTGTGCAAAAATGCATGTTTGGATCTAGAAAACTGGTTTCCCTAAATTTTCGCGCTACTGAACCGATGATTTTTGGAAACTGAAAAATTTTACACCACAGAAAATTCCCGGTTTTACAGTAACTCATTTACCCCTTTGTAGGACTGGCAAGGTCATGTGATGACGCACGGCGCTTGATGCTGATCTGGTAACGCAGCTTTTGTCCGCGCTCAAAGCTGGAGAAGAGAGCGTAAAACAGACATCACAGACACTACGCATTACAGCAACCATGAGACAGCGGCATTCACAGACGTGTTACTTTTCGCGCATTTTCCTATGGGCACGTCAAAGAACATGATGCATGCACGTGGCTTTGTACGGTGCGTGAATGCAGCCTTACTGACACCATCTACATGTATCTTCTGCTTACTTTTTCAAGAAAATAACACCAATGACCACGATGATGATTGCTAGGATGGCAAACACACCGCCAATAATCGCTCCAACCGTGCTCGACTCGGACGATGAGGATGGAGCGGAATATGGCTCTGCACAGCCCAAGCACACAAGGTAATGGATTGGGTCCGCCAACAAGCATTACACTCACACGTATGCCACTGATAGTCAACATCGAAATTCAATTTCGTCGAACATCCAGAGAATTTCAAAATCAGTTATGTGTGTTTCGTGGTACACCCAAAGCTTCTAAAGGTATTTTCACTCATTGCAGAAGAACCAGCAAGAAATGCTATTCATCCCTAGGCCACCTTCACTGCTACCCAGGAATGAATATGCAAACTAGTTGTCTCAACATGTTATACTTGATGTCTCAGTTACTGGGGCTATTACACATCTTCATCAATAATGAGTAGACGCTATTTCAGATACTTCAAACTCGGATGGGGAGCAAAGGATTTTTTGATAGTAAACAAAATGAGCAAGGAACTAAACTTTCAGCTTGTGCCTGTCTTGTTTGCGTTCACTTAGGACCTTCCAAGATGGTGTAACTTTCACCCCAGTATTGCTCCGACCCCCGGCCATTCTACAGTGTGCGATAGTGTTTACCTTCGCTAGTCTGCTGCTCGAACAGAAATGGTCCAGTGACGACATCGAAGTCCTGAAACACAGCAATGCCACAGAGAACACACTGGCTGCGTTCGATTATGCACTTGAATCGATTCATGCATCCATTCGCATTCATTCAAGTCGTTCGATTTTCATGTCATGAGCCCTGGAATCGATTCGGAATCCATTCACTCTATTCACATGGGGTGATGTGAATAGTGCGAATCGATGTGTGAATCGATTCATGAATCGGTTCGCAAATCGATTCATGAATCGATTCGCGTGCATAATCGATCGCTCTCACTGATACAGAAAGGAGTGCACTGTGCTTCACTTCACTCATTATGGACTTTATGAGATTATACCATCACTACTGCAACGATTCATGTTGTGCGTACTTCCCTAGCTGCAGCTCATGCTTGGCATTTAACCCTTTGGAGTCCATGGTTCGATTTCGAACCATGGACGTTTTGTATGCATGTGGGCGCAGTCAAACTTTCGGTTCTCGGCCAAATCTATTCAACAATCGAAGGGTCTAGGTGGTAGTGAAAACTCTCAGCTATCGCCTCGAACAGGTCCGAAGTCTCTCTGATGAAGTTCGAGTGAGCGGCGAGCGATCGAACATTTTGAATTTTCTGCGCTGCGTGCTGCGAGTCAGTAGTGCGTGAAAAAAAGGGATTTTCCCAGCTTCAGGACAGGCGGCACGTGCCAGGACCGGCACGGCGCGAAGTCACGGCAAAGTAAGCTGCTACTCGAAAAAATGTGAACAGTTCCGAGCTAGATTCAGTGAAATGGCCGCAAGAGACCGATTTCGTCTCAGATCTGGAGCTGGACTCACGTTTGGAGCGCGTTGTGGCGGACAATGAGTAGTACTCTTGGCGACTTTGGGCTCATTGTATGTCTCTCATCAAGAGCTTTCCAACGAGCCCAAGATCTTCAAAATCGGTGAAGTAGAATCAAAGTTATGTTGAAAATTGAGTGCGCATTTTCGTGACGGCCACAAATACTGAGGAAGCAAAAAAGTTATGGACTCCAAAGGGTCAAGTGGTCTTTGTAAAAAAAATGTTGATTTCATCACTGGTGCTGGTTATGATGGTTGCCTTGGAGGCGGGTGTCTAGTAAAATATACGCAATCCAAGAGCACACATAGAACTCAAACACAGAGTTAGACTGTGAAGCTGCTGTTGCGGCCAAACCCAGCTGGAAAGGACGTACCTCAAGTCGAGACAGCTGCTGGCGTTTGCCGCGAGTACTCTGCGATCGCCGTACGAAGGCCCGTACAAATGCATTGTAAGTGGTCCCAGCTTCCAAAGGTCCGTTGTGCACGAATGAGCCTGTAGCAAAAAAATGGAGAGCAATAAAAATGCTTTACGAGACAAAAAATTGAGAGACAATAATCGTGTTGCGAATTTACCTCGTACAAGTGAGTTGACATCTACAGTACATTCTGGTTCCGAAGAACAGGGGGAGGGGGGGGGGGGGGGAGGGGTGAAGAGGACGGAGCGGAGCGCGAGAGGGGATCAAAGCACTCTTATTTTTTTTTAATGAAAATGTACTGTCTACACATATTTGAGCCATGTCCGTTCACTGACACAAAGCAACTCACAACGTGTGCGCATTTATCCAATCTCTCAAACTATACACAAATCCCACCTTCTAGAAATAGGGAGCTTGTCCGATTTGCCACTCCACCGCTGAAATACGCAATGCCGCCCAGAAAGTCATCAGTCTGCAGCTCACCAGCAATGTACGCTAGTAACTCTCCAGGCTGGGAGTTCTGTACCTCATCGTAATTACGAATGTTTGCACTGCCGATAGGGAAACTACTCTCTGCGGTCTCACTGAATATGGCTATGTTGTTTGGTTTCTTCACCACCAGGATCTGATAAAAGCTGACAAAAACACAACAAAACAGAGCACTCTTTCTTGAGGAGCGTACCCTCAGGCACCAGCCAAGTAAAGCACCATCAATGGCAAATTTATGCTGATTCAATCCTGCTACTACGGCACCGCAACAGACTAGATATCGCTTCAAAATCAAGCTTTGACTCGCTTAGAAAAAGAGCAGGGGATACCAGTTGCTCATTATAATCCATGCTATGACGATTAAGGTGTTGCAATTTGTGACAATCTCTGTCTCACTACTGACAGGAAGTATCAAACGACAATTTACATGTGTGGTTAGACGTTTGGAGATTCAGCGTAGATCAAGTTGGTGACATTCATTGACTTACTGAACAGTGCGATCAGTCTGCTGAAACTCGTCCACATGCCAAGTCAGCATAGACTGGCCAAACAGTCTGAAACGCTCCGGTATCAAGCTTCGATATTGCTCTGGATCCAAAGATCTCACGTTGGTTGGTATTGTGGGTGGTAAAACAGCACCTACAAGGACAAATACAACAGGACCCAAACAGAAACTAATCAGAAACCGAAACTTTGAGGACGGGTTGACAAAAGCTTTCAGCGGTGATAGTACGAGGCGATGTGCCGTATTTTTGCAAGCATAAGCCGCACTTGAGTGTAAGCCATACTGGGATTTCTTTGCCATGAAATACCGACATCTCCCCTGTTTATCACTATTAAAGGGGCACTCCGGCTTCATTTTCGACGCCGAGTTTTCGATGCCAAGACGAAGGTCGGTGAAAGAGAAGACCCCTCGAACAAGAACGAGTCTCCAGAAGCGATCGAGTCGAGCAGGAGGACGACTTTTGAATTTCGGCCGAGCGAGCGCTGATGACGTAATGAGGGATTAGCTTGCCAGTGGAAATGCATCTGCGCACATACATTTCACACACTTTTTGGCCAATTTTCAATCGAAGAAGAGGTTGTTTGCTATGTTCTCCCAACGCCGTGAGCGATCCCGTCTTCTATACCCTTCCAGGTACCCTGAAGGTCCTCCAGAGGAGAATTTATCTCCATCAAAGCGTTGTTGATCCGCTAAATTCGTCTCGAGACATATTCACCCAGTGCAGTGCTGATAAATGTAGAATGTTGAATCTGTGATAATTGTCGACGATGGAGAGAGAGGCTGATAGCTGCTGTTGCAGGGAGAGTGAAGCTGCTGGAAGTAACAACAGGGAGCCCGTGTGTATCACCTGAACAACCAGACTTCAAAGCAGCTTGACCAAATCGGAGGGTGCCTCGTTGCTTATCGTGAATATTACACCGACATGAATTACTACAAGTATACTGGTGAGTTTTTATCTTGTTTTGTTCGTATGCTAGTACCCTGGCCTGGAGTTCTCGTTAGCAAATTCCTATTCCCTGGCGTTTTCTAAACATTCCGTGTAGGACTGAATACATGATCAAGTATTCCGATTTGGGTAGATGTGGAATTTGGACATGTATTTTATTAAAAAAATTATTTTCCAAATAGAGCGTTTGTAGAGAAATGGTTGCCCAAATACAACAAAATTTATTCTGCAGTTCTACAACTAACTTGTACTGAAATCCAGTCGAAGTAAAAATGATTCTTCATGACAGTTGGGGTCAATGAAATCTGATCCAGGCATAACGAATGGTGACGTCTGCCATCCCGGGAACGAATGCCCATTTGGTGGGGGATACCAAAGTACTCGAAAGTAGTGCGTGTTTCAATGTGGCATGGAAGTTTTATATGATCTCTGGTCAATGCAACATACGATAGCCAGCATGAATTGCAGGCCTCGAACGCAACTCCGACCAGAATTGGCAGTTCCCTAAGTTAGATGCTTTATAATTCCATGGCCCCAGCTGTAGTTATAGAGGGTTTTTTGCACATTATTCTTATAGTCGATAGGTTTATACTGATGGCCACAAACAACGGCAGTTCAAACTTCACTGATGTGTTCATGAGCTGAGAGATTTCTCTCCACTATTTCTGTTGTGCACACAGGTTTGTCCAATATGCATTGACCGTATTGGGTATGGTACCTGCTCTGAGAAGGGAATCGCTGGAGCCACAGTCCAACTATACAGGCTTTCAAGAAACAGAGAGGAGCCATCTTTGCAAGCTGATACCTGATGTGTACCGACAGAATTCTCACGAGATAGCTTACAGACTACGCCTGGTGTATACTTCATAGTACTCCTTCGACTACTGTCTAGAATCAAGTCGACTGAAGCAAGTTCAAACAACTCTGGCTTCAAACGAGCCGTCGATTAGACAAACAAAACATTCTCTCATATACTAGAGCACTCTGACAACTCACGACCTATTCCTAACGATTGCCACCGCTTATAAATATGTAGAGTACTGATTGGAATGTGCTCACAATCTCAACAATCCAGTGCTATAATTATTTGAACTATGTGTTCCTTCCATAAATGTTGTATCCACATATAATCCACAGTGCTGCAAAGTTTCAGAGTTCTCAGGGTATCAAACAAAATTACTTCAAATACAGTGAAATAGTTCGTGGACATTATAGCGTAACTTGTAGTTCCCTGGTCCTTTTCTTTGCTATATATTAATCCTTTGCTCTCTAGCCACCGGCGAGTCCGACAGTCAAATTGTTAGTTCATATTTATGTGGGTATGTGGGGGGGGGGGGGGGTGAACATATTTCTATATAAGGGACCTGCAACTGTAATACCACAGTACAGTAGATAGCAAATATGTAGAACACAGAAATGCATGTTCCCATCATTGTACATGGACGGGCGCAGCAGGCCGAAGCTATCAGCCAGAACAGGATTTACAATCGCCTAGAGATACTCGAGCTATTCCAGTATTCTCCGTGAGCTGTCCCATTCCACAATGGTTCATGCCACCATTATTTCTGGTAGTATCCATGTGCATAATTCCAAGAACATCTCGGATTCTTCAGCAATTTGTGCCACGGCAAAAGACAACGCTTGACTCGGTCACTGGGGCTGTCAAACTTCGCATCACAAATGAACTTCAATTTATCATCTGGTTCAAGTATATGTACTGCCATGACTTGACCGTGCTTCATCCACAGCTGGGCGAAGATTGTGGCGTTGAATTCCATAGCGCACCTTCTTGCTGTCATGCAGGAATATGTTGAGAGAAGTGAACATATTTTTACTAAAAAAACAACAGCCACTGAAGAGGATAGCATTAGCAATAGCCTTGGGTGAATTTCCTGCAGGTACACGTTGTTGGTAGGTCTACTGGTCGGTCTCCATATCGTCAAGTTCAGAAATCACCTGTACTACGCATCTTGTAGAAGGGATCCTGATCGAAAATTTTTCTGATCATAAAATTCACTAAACTGAGGGCGAGACAAATAGTCAGTACTCCTCGATTCCGTCTAGCTGCTTTGATCAAGTGATGCTAACAAGCTCCCCGTTGTTACTTCCAGCAGCTTCACTTTCCCTGCGACAGCGGCTATCAACCTTTCTGTCCATCGTCGACAATTATCACAGATTCAACATTCTACATTTGTCAGCACTGCACTGGGTGAATATGTCTCGAGACGAATTTAGCGGATCAGCAACGCTTTGCTGGAGATAAATTCTCCTCTGGAGGACCTTCAGGGTATCTGGAAGGGTATAGAAGACGGGATCGCTCACGACGTTGGGAGAACATAGAAAACAACCTCTTCTTCGATTGAAAATTGGCCAAAAAGTATGTGAAATGTATGTGCGCAGATGCATTTCCACTGGCAAGCTAATCCCTCATTACGTCATCAGCGCTCGCTCGGCCGAAATTCAAAAGTCGTCTTCCTGCTCGACTCGATCGCTTCTGGAGACTCGTTCTTGTTCGAGGGGTCTTCTCTTTCACCTACCTTCGTCTTGGCATCGAAAACTCGGCGTCGAAAATGAAGCCGGAGTGCCCCTTTAATTTGGCCATCTTAGTATAAGCTGGACGGACCTCTTTTTTGGGTGAATTACGGTTTAAATTGCGGTTTATACCTCGGAAAATACGGTCATAATCCCTATGCAAAGGCTGGGTAGCAGCGCCATATTGTTATGGAAAAACCCAACAGTAACATGTATAATGCTGCAGATACGTATTATGCGCTGGCGAGTTTGTTATCGGTTCTTTGTAGATGAGCAGTTCATTCAGTTTTCTAGTCGTGCATAGTTCATGACCTGCATCTTGGGATACTCTCTTGCAGAACTGCTATAGCCCGATGAGCGAGGAGGTAGATATGAGAAAATGGGGCGTGGAGGAAAGTGCACTCATAGCGTTTAGGATAGCATGATGCAGATCGCCCTGCAGTTGGTACGGATATTCAATACAGCACACACTACCCACCTGGTGTATTTGCAGATACCTTGGCACTATCACCAGGCCCGGCCGCAGTGCTAGGTGTTACGGTGATTGTCAGCCGCAGAGACGGGAACAGACCGGTGTAGTTCAGGTACACAGGTTCACGTTGCTGTGCTGGTGGTACGGATGCGTTGAACGGCGGTGCTTGGACTGTACGAGATAGCTGCGTTGGCAGCACACGGAACACTCCAGACAAGCTGACCTGTAGATTAAACCGCACGAAATCACGAGATCACAGAAAAACCCTTTTGCACCAAACTAGTCATTGAATAGAGAGTATGTCATTTCATCATCACCAGAGTACTTGCCCATGGAAGTATTATTGCAAGATCCTATATGCCGCGATTATATGGAACTGGTTCTAAAGGCCACCTGCTTAAACGATCACTTTGGCTTGCACAGCAGGGTGGTCGCTTAAACCAGGTTGCACTGTAGGTTGTGATCGCGGACACTTGCATACCTGCCCACCATACCGATTTGGCCGGGACCGTCCCGATATCGAGGGTGGTAATAGGCACTGAAAAGTGCATTAGTTGCAAGATTCTCAAGGTTTGGAGACGCCACTGTAGCCAATACTTGAATCCATACATCCTGTACACACACCTTGTACACACTCTCTCTAACGGTCTCTAGGCTACACTGCAATTGATATACATTAGATCAAATTTTCGGGCAAGGCCCATCATCAGGAATAAGTCAACTGTAGACAAAACAAGATGCAAGATTGACAGCTAAATTTGTATACATGTTCATACCTAGGTATGTCATTGTCCCGATATCATGGTTGCAACTTAGTGGCAGGTATGTACTTGGTACATGTTGCTTGACCCTTTGAGAGTACACCTCATCAGAATTCCCCTCTAGTGTTGGGTGCAATGGAGCAATGTAGAAGCCTTACCGTATAGTTTAGGATAGGGCCGACAAACCTAGTCGGTGGCAGCCAGCGAAGGTATACGTGAAAAGCCCCCACTTCAACAACAGTCAGATCTTCCGGCGGATATGGCCCTGCAGCACATGTTTGAGTTATGCAAGAATAAGATGATTGCATATCTTTCTTTGTGAAAAGTCGGCATGCATCTGACAAGAAAGAGTCAAGAAAGAGTCAAGAAAGAGTCAAGAAAGAGTCGCATACTCTTGCAGTAAGGTCTGTATGTCTATTGCGATACACAGATGTGCTTTCATGCTATGCATCAAGTGCAATTCAGTTCTCCACGGAGAAGAACTGAAGCTGAATGACATAATCTTGCGAAGAAACAACTTTTTAAAGATTTTGAATGGGCCTCTCAGGGTGTTTTAGGTGCACATTCGAAAGAAACTGAGCACAAGAACGCAGTAACAGGGCCATACTGTAAAAAAATGAGCACAAGAACGCAGTAACTGGGCTATACTGTAAAAAAATGAGCACAAGAACGCAGTAACTGGGCTATACTATAAGTCAACGAATATCAGGCGCAATTTGTTTTCGGCTATTTTCGGCCTGATCATATTTGGCTGAAATTTGGTTGCAGCCGGAATTTTGTTTTGCAAGGTTCAGTGTGACAGTGTATACAGGCCGAACGTTTGTCCGCAGCCGAAATGTGTTTAGCCCTGGCAGGCGGAAATTTGAATGGGCTGAAAATTTGCCAACTTACAGTACTGCATAATATTGATTTGCTACCGTATGACTGAGTTTCCCCGTGGCTTGCTTCTATTTACATTGTACAGTCAGTGGATCAACGGCATACTACTACTAGTTCCTGCATGCAGGCCACAAGGGATTTCAAGTAAATGCTAGTTATAATTCTTATCAACTTGAAGGAAATCGCATCCATAAACATAGCGTCTACGTCTCGAGAGGAACCTTGGCTATCACGTCGAAGTTATCCGAAGTCTCTACGAGGTACGATGCCGCCGTGGTGAGAGTTGAGATCGGAGGAAAACTGAAAAGTTTACTCCGATCGAAAAATTCAAATTTTCACACTGCGCTTGGCAGGGGTTTCCCCGGAGTGCTACGGCATACTCAAGCATGCTGCACACCACAATTTTGCGCTTGAAACGAGCTTTCCACTGTAGTTTATTTGAAGTCGATGTGATGAAGGAGAATGGAATGGCGGCTGTTTGAACTTTGCTGGAGCTGTTCGCGCACGGCTGCTGTTTTGAGCTGCATTCTAGGCCACGCAGAGCAGAGGCCGTGCAGGTAGCTGGCTTGAGTGTGGTATTGGTCGCTTCGTCTTGGAAATACCTTTCCAGCGGTGGCAAGTTTGTAAAAATCGTCGAATGTTTGGCAGTGTTACAAGCGAAAGCGCATGTTATTTGGAGGTGAGTAAATTGTCGTACTTTCAGTGGGGTCTCAAAGGGGTTAACAGTGGTTTCCAACATTCGTGTTTGGAGAATAGCAGTTAGGAAAAGAACACAAACGTATGCAATTGGAATACCTATGCATTGTTTTCACTCACTTGAAGGTGGTGTAGTAATGTAGTAGGTTTCAGACAGCGGTCCGTATGAAGGTTCGGCTATGGCTAGGGCGGCAAATGCGTACGTTGAATAGCCCACCAGGCCTCGTAGAAGTGCACCGAACAACATGTTCTCGTTATTGACCGTCAGCAATGTGGGCTGGTGTATAAATACACACTGCTGTTCGTCCTCTGGCCCATCGCTAGAGGGAAGCGAGAACATAGGACCGAGTCGGTCAACGTTGGTGTTGGGCGAAGGTGATGGAGTTGATGGCTGCGTCGTCTGAATGGGCAAAAAGGCACCTCCGGGCAGCGGGTCGGCTGTTTGGCGATCCGGCTGCGTGTGACTCGGAGCCACAGTACGAAATACCAGTGAATGATCAGTCACTTCCTGCGTTGACTGCTGACCGGGCTCGGTTTCGATGTTCATTGACGCATCCGGTATGTGAGTGTGAACATCTTCTTCCTCTTCTTCTTCATCTTCGGAGTGGCGTTTCCCTCTGGTGGGTGGTGGTCGGGTCAATGGCTGCTTTGTAGCAGGGCTTTCCTCCTCTCCTTCCCCCTCTTCTTCAGCAGGCGTTTGAATTGGCAAACTCTCAGGTCTGCTAACTGGCAAAGTAGGAATGATTTCTTCACCCTTTTCCTCACCATCACCTGGGCCTGGACTTGGGCGGACCGGAACGAGAGTTTCCAGACCCTCTTCTTCAGCAGGCGTTTGAATGGGCAAACTCTCAGAAACTCTGGTTACTGGCAAAGTAGGAATGATTTCCTCACCCTCTTCCTCGCCATCATCTGGGCCTGGCCTGGGCATAGTTGGCTGCACTGGAACAGGAGGAGGGTTGCTGACAGAAAGGGTCAAAGGATGTGAGGTGCTGCCCTCTTCTTCGCCATCACCTGGGCCTGGCCTTGCCGTGGGTAGCTGTATCGGAACCGGAGTAGGGGTTCTACCGGACAGCGTGGAAGGCTGCGCGGTACTGCCGGTGAGCAGAGTCAACTGTCTCTCGGTGGTTACTAATCCACTAATGCCAGGCCTCCCGGGGTTTGCCGCTGGCTCCGTAATGCGCACAGTCGGGTTGGCCGCGACGCCCGTTGAGATCCGTCGGTAGCACAGCTGATGCGTTACGTTCGCGAAGGTCGTCTCGGCGGCGCGCCAGTTCAACGCCATTGTAAACCGGTGACGCTCGGCCTGTGGTAGAATCAGCGCGGATTGAATGTCCCCTGGTGCACCGAGAACTGCAGAGAAGGATAAACAAAACGATATTGTACATTATGCGTGAGTGAACATGACTATGCATTATTGGACCTGCTGAATGACTTGTCTACACGCTCATTCATAGAGGAAAAGCCACGTTTTGGATAAACAGCATAAAAACTCAAACTACATCAGAGAGACTTCGGACCTGTTCGAGGCGATAGCTGAGAGTGTTCTCCACCACCTAGAGCCTTCGATTGTTGAATTTGGTCAAGATTCAGCCGAGAACTGAAAGTTTGACTGCGCCCACATGCATACAAAATGCCCATGGTTCGAAATCGAACCATGGACGCCAAAGAGATAAAGCAAAATTCAATCAGACTACCCTACATGGTACTCCACATGTTATTCACAACAGATATATTTGTGTGCCATAATAGCTGGCTATAAAGTACAGATTTTCATGGAGATTCAGTGCAACATCAAGATGCACGTGGTCCATTTGCGTGTTCACCGTGGACAGCAATGTTTTGTTGAAAACTTTGCTTCCTTATTGTGTGTCAGGGGTGTAGCATGTGTAGAGTCAGCGTAGTGCGGTCATCACACCAGCAAATGTCTGTCGTCGGTAGTACATAGTCAAAATAGGTAAAATGAAGGCCATGAGGTTGCGGGGAGGGGGGGGGGGGGGGGCTGGTCACCACATCACAGACGTGCTCTGACACACTGTCACAACACCACAGACGTGCTCTGATACATTGTCACCATACCACAGACGTGCTCTGTTACATTGTCACCACACCACAGAAGTGCTCTGAAGCCTGGGCACCACACCACAGACGTGCGCTGATACCACAGATGTGCGACCTATGCCCCTGCCTGTACAGTAAGCAATGCAACATCAGGAGACAATTACCTCTCAGCGGTGAGACTATAGTCGCCCTCGCCGACCCAGCCTCAGACTGTGCCAGACAGAACAGCCGCTCCTGGTCCAACGCCATTGCATCGGGATTGTAGTAAGTCAGACGAACACCAAATTCCCCAGTCACGAGCTGCGCAGTCATTCGGGATATGATGATTCCATTCCGATTCAGACCCAACTGAAAACTGCATGGAGCAAGGAGGGCAAACGCAATAATTCTTTACGATTCATCAAGCACCCCACACATCTTCTAGTGAAAATGCAGGCGTGCAAGCACTTTGATGCCGGGCATAGACTGCCTCCATTAATATTCACGAAGTATGGCTTTGCGGCATGTGTGAACCGGATCCATGTTGTTACATGTATCATGATAAAGAATAATTAAGTATTCGACTGGAGACCAAGAATAGTACCACATGCGGAGTCATCATAGGCACACAACATGTGTGTGTGTGTGTGTGTGTGTGTGTGTGTGTGTGTGTGTGTGTGTGTGTGTGTGAGTGTGTGTGAGTGTGCGTGTGTGTGTGTGTGTGGGGGGGGGGGGGTGGGGGGTGGTAGTGCATACATATTAATATATAACCCGATACTAGTTCAAAACTAGTTTTAGATAAACCTTGTAATAATTATCATGCCGTCTATCTAACAATAGTGCATACATGCGTGCTGGCGTGCGTGTGTATGTGCATGGATTACAAGGGGAGAAGAGACAACGACACATATAAATAATAGCGTGAAAATGAAGAACACAGGCAACACAGATGTCTGTCACAGAGTACTCAGCGTGAATTACAACATCACCACTGAACGGTGGGATTCCAGCTCAACCCTTACATCTGATCCGTGGTTCTGATGATGAGATCCGGGAGGGGAATTCCCATTGCTTCGCAGGTGATGTTCAGAGGGACAGACTCTGTTAGGGTCGGCAGTACTGTGCCACCTAGCTGCTGAAATCCTAGAAACGTTGGTGGAACTGAGGGAGAAGAACACAACGAAAAGCAATTGTTAGTTCATTGCTACTCCACTCTATAATGTATACCATGAACAGTGATCATTCATTGCTCAATATGCTCAACCTCCACTGTCATGCAGTTTCTCGCAAACCTGACATTTTTGGCCACAGTGCTCGGATTTTGCCACACAAATACTATCTGTTTGGTTTTGATTGATTGATTGATTTTTATTTCACGGATCCTCCAGAGGCAAATAGATGCCTATCGAAGGGAGTCTCCTATATAAGTATGGAAAATGAGAAAGTATGTTCGTAAGGGAGAAGAGGTAGAAGATACATTAGAATATAGAGTACAGAAGAAGTAAATTCAGTACTTCGGGTAGTACATTGCATGCTAATCATAATGAGAATTAGAAAAGCAGCATTGCGGACTACTATAACTGACATATACACAAACTATTGAAACTATCATAGATATGGTTAGCCTAGACACAAAAGTCAGGAATACCTTTCAAAGAAAACATAGATTGCGAATGATACCGACGAACAGCAATACTAAATTTCGCTGTTGTAGAGAGTGAACGAATATCTTCAGGAAGTTTATTCCAGGCAACACTCAAAGAAAAAAGGGTTGATTTACGAAAGAAGGTGCCAGCTTTAGGAAGAATTATGGATGAAGGGTGACGACTGCTTTGGGAAGAGGGTAGCTGGAAGTGAGACAACAAGGAGGGGTATTGGTAGAATACATGGTGGAAATAGACAAGGCCAAGAATCTGCCGTCGCCATGCTAACGATTCCCAAGAGGACAGAACATTGAGGTCTTCTTTGGAAGTCGTCCAGTGGTCTCACACAGTGACTTCATCTCTGAAGAGCCCTTGCTCCATACAAGAAAACTCTCCTTATCCCCGATGCCGGAAATGTTTGTGCGACCTTTCTTTCGTAGAATATTAAGTTCCACAATGTTTGGGGAGAGAACCGCGGTGCTGCTCAACGGAATCCGATCACAAGAGTTAATGTAACGACGGGCGCTATGCAGCTCAGACCTGTGAATACTGGGTTTTGCATTGTGTCTCTAGCATACCCTTGAGTTGCACAATTGGATTTCTCTGAGCAACGCCGTTCATGCGTGGACAAAAAATGGGATAATTTGCTGTGTCCGTTCCCGAGAGAACTCACCATGAACTCAAGATGGTCACTAACACCAGTCAAAGCCCAACGAAAAAAACACACGAGTAGACAGTCGCTTACTATAGACATCCAGAGTGTAGGAGAGTGAATCCTCTCCAAGACGGTTACCCACGGTGACAGTGTAGATACCGGCGTGCAGCAGCAGTGGCTTGATGATCAGCAGAGTGCCCGATGCAAACTCTTCGTAGTTGGACCCGCCGTTCATCAAGCTGCCGCCGTTGTGCGTCCATATGGCCGAGTAGTACTGCTCCAATGGAGTGAGAGCTGGCTCAACGATTGCGAATGCAAGCGTGATCAACCCAGGTCTACCTCCCGTTATGGCTGTAATTCGCTCTCGACCAATGCGTCTCAATACTGGTGAACCTGCAAAGAGAGAGAGAAACAGGGGGGGGGGGGGGGGGCGAACACGAGAGAGAGATAGATAGATAGATAGATAGATAGATAGATAGATAGATAGAGAGAGAGATAGATAGATAGATAGATAGAGAGAGAGAGAGAGAGAGAGAGAGAGAGAGAGAGAGAGAGAGAGATAGGCATAGCGAAAGAAACAACAAAAAACATGAATGCAGCCGGAGAGGCCGATTAACTGTGCTGTTCACAATTTACGCCATTTATGCAGCACTGACCCCGAATATGAACACACAGTTAGCCAACGTATGCCTACTGTAAACAATAGAAATCACGAGCCTCCAGATCCGAAAAGGGGGCTTATGTAGTTTTGGGCAATGTTAGGAAAACACTGTAAGTTGCAATATCACATGTAGCTCAAGCTTGCCTTACCAGCTACTGTGATTGTCATATTGATATGCTGCACCACAGTGTCATCAGCGGACAGCAGTTTGAACGTGGCATTGTACACGCCAATCGGCAGGTCAGGAAGGCGAGCGCTGAAATTGCTGCCAGCCGTGCTAAACGACACGTTAGAAGGATCTAGGAGAGTGGTGGAGAAACTCCACTGAACCGAGGTACCAACAGGCGGTTTCGGGCAGCCGATGAGTGCCACCCACAGTATAATGGGTTGCGACTTGAAGAAATTCCATCTAGTGATGGGGTCAGACATCCCTACAAAGGAGGAAAGAATTCAAGCCACAAATGATCCAAAATAGAAGTAAGTAGTGCATGAAGGTGATAGTAGTTTCTAGCGACGTATGACAGTTTTACGAGTATCACACCTGCTGGCATTTCTTGATTGTGGAAGAGATTTGAAGGTTGTCCGAGGTGCCCCCGGCAGAGTTGGCATGGTATTGCCAGGAGTGTCCGCATGCTGTAGTGTATTTAGAAACCCATGACTGCAGTCATAACTAAGAGCATAGCAACACCAGGCAAGCACACCAAACTTCAATCTTACTGCAGATGAAGACGTCGATGCCCACGGACGTTTCAAAAACGCTTTCCATGCACTCCGTGAGAAGTATGGATGCCCTGCACAGATACACTCCGGAATCCTCTATACGCACTCCGCTTCTTGTCAGCGTTGAGTGATATACACGTTGCTGGCCATTGTCAATCACTGCAGCACAATACACATACCGCAGTGCCTTGCATTAAAGCCCATTTCAATTCGAACCCTGTTCTGAATACAAGCCTGATTTGCAAGATACACTGTCGGCACATAAGCGTGGTTTTAGCGTTGACACACATAGAAATGCCTGGTTTGAATAGAAGCCTGGTGTGAACAGAAGCCTAGTCCTTACATCGGCTTCTACAGGAATACGCCCGGATTTAATACGCGACATTGCAGTTGGCAGAATTCTGCGCTCCAAGATGTCGTTCGATTTCTTTGACACTATGTATTACAACATTATGCCACATGGACAAGACTCTGTGCTCTGACAAGACTCTGTGCTCTGACAAGACTCTGTGCTCTGACAAGACTCTGTGCTCTGACAAGACTCTGTGCTCTGACAAGACTCTGTGCTCTGACAAGACTCTGTGCTCTGACAAGACTCTGTGCTCTGACAAGACTCTGTGCTCTGACAAAGCATTCAATCTGCAAAAAACTGTACATAACAACATCATCACTGGAGGCTTTCAGAACTGCTCATGTTCGGAAGACCACCACTCATCCATTGTATTGATCGAATGTATACAGATCATTAAGGTACTATATTTCCCGGACATCACACACACACACCGTTAGACAGTATGGTTATTGAGTACGAAAAGAAGGAATGATACTTGGCCAGTATTGAGGCACATGTCATAGGGATCAACTAAATGGGAGATTGGCGGAAAATAATAATATCCCTCTCGCAGGGAATGTGCAAAATGCAAGACATGCACTGTTATTGCAAACAGTGTGGACATCACTGGTTCACATTTATATGAAGCTATGAATTTGTAACACTGTGTCTTTCAGTGTAAATACAAAGTTTCGTGGCAACAAAGAACGCAACTTACACTGATCCGTTTGGTTGATGGTTACTCCCGGCATTTCAGACGTTATCGGTCCTAGAAAGGTGGTGCTCCAGGTCACATCTGTGTCCGGTGACGATACGACACGGCATTGCAATGTCACAGTGCCTCCGACGTACACCACTCTCATGTTACCCCGTGGCAGGGTGATCTCGGGCAATCCTGTAGAAAGCAGGCCGAGTTACACATGACATGTTCCAGGGGATCGGATGTACTGTAAAAATGATGGCAAACACATGGGGACTGCAGAAGAATGCATGTTCCCGAAAAGCAATATAAAATTGATAACATACACCTGTTCTGCCCTATCGAGAGACGCATACACACAAATATACAGACATACATGGACACACGCACACACGCACGCATGCACCCCCCCCTCCACACACACACATATGCACACACATATGCACAAACATTCACACACATTCACACACACGCACACACAATTACATGTATAATCCTGCTAAGAACTCACGCTGAGACTGAATACAGACCACTGCTCCGAACACTTCCGTGACTCCGCCATCATTCACCAATCTACCTTCATAGTAGCCGGCATCCACTGGAACTACATCTATCACCCTGAGAGCGCCGGGGAGAATTTGAAAACGGTCACTGGCAGTGATGGGAACAGCATCTTTGTACCAGGATATCTCGGGAGGAATGCCGGTGCTGAGGGCTGGCCGGATCTCGAACTCCCGCCCGAGCTGAGTGACTATTGAGATATTGCTTAGACCTCCCGTTAACAATATTGTCGATATACCTGAATGGAGAAAAACAAGAAAAAAGACATCAGGCAACAACAAGAGTTCAAGCCCAAGAGTGTTCAAATGCTATCTTGCGTTGTAATTGACACGCCACTGTGGGATTTTGGACTGCATCATGATTCGGAGAAAGTATGTTCAAGCACAGAGAGGCCTACCCTGTCCTTGCAATACCAGTTGATCCGACCCATGATGCCAAGATATCTGCTGTCTGTTTTCCCGCTCTGACACCCGTGATTGTGGTGTACAACCTCTTTGCACAATTTGTGCCGGGCAATATTGTATTCATTTGTGTGTGTGTGTGTGTGGGGGGGGGGGGTGTTTATGTGTGTGTGTGTGTGCGCGTGCGTGCGTGTGTGTGTGTGAGGGGGGGGGGTGGGGGGGGGGGGGGGAGGGTGGGGGTGTTTATGTGTGTGTGGGGGGAGAGGGGGGGTTGTGGTGTTTATAAGTGTGTGTGTGTGTGTGTGTGTGTGTGTGTGTGTGTGTGTGTGTGTGTGTGTGTGTGTGTGTGTGTGTGTGTGTGTGTGTGTGTGTGTGTGTGTGTGTGCATAAGTATCTGTGTGTGTACGTGTTTACATGTGTTTCTTTAGCAATGCGATTGTACGTATCCTTACAGAGCTGGGCTCTGCTGAAGTTGCGTGCTGTGAACCCAGTGGAGCAGCGGTCACACTGCACACCCGTAGTTTGGTGAAGGCATGGCTCACACACGTAGTAGTCGGTCGAGTTCCCAAGCGTAGTGACGGTGGATCGGCGACCACGCCGGGGTCCCGGTTCTTCTTCCGGCTCGAACGGCAATGGTGGTGTTAGAGTTGTCGGCGAGCATTCGGCTGCGTGTCCGCTGCATTGGCATCTGCCACGCAGTTGCAAGTCAGACACTGCCAGAAATGTCTACAAAGCAGAGAAGCATAGCAAACTAAGGTTGTATGCAGACAGTAAGTAGCAATAACATAACCTCATATTATCTCATCAATAGAAGAAACTTGTCGACGATGATTGTTCAGTATATGGACGCGGTGTAGCGTCTCGTAGCCAATCACATCAATTTTAAAACAAAGCGTACCCGAATAGAGCAACAGTCAGTAGCACTAGAATAGATCTCATCGAAGGAACAGGCTTGAAAATTGCTGTGTTGTGTCTTGCATCCCAATCACACAATAGGTGTGTTTATACTACGACCGTATAATACTCACTATTCGTATTTCCCGCTCCTTCACCATAGCAATGAGAGCCAATCAAGTATAGAAGAGCGCATTCTCCAGTGGTTCTCTATCCGTCGAACTCTTGTCTACTCTCTTATCTAATTACTTATTCCATATTCCATATTCAATACTATGAAACCCCTGTGTTCTGGAAGTGTGAGGGCACTGCGTTTAGCCGGGAGCTAACATTATGAAAAATGTACCCGAATCCACGAGACATGAGCCCAGGGCTGCCTCTTGCTCCGATTTTTGATCGCCTGTCGGACAAACCGACCGGTTTTGTTCCCAAAGAGGGACAACCGATTATTTTAATTTTTAGCACTTTTTAGTCCAGTTGGCCATTCAGCACTTCCAGGTCGCATTTGGCCAGTCATTGTACATGTACATGTACATGTGGCTGTAAAATGCATGCGTGCTTGCATGTGTGTGGACAGTTAAAAATGTGTTCTGGGGCCCCAACAGCAAGCTATTTTCCTAAAAATTTCCCCGGGGGACACCCCGACCTCCGTCAGATTTTTCTCCCTCCAACTGTATACTATTATTGTAATGCAACACTCTAAACACTGGGACTATATAAGACTGCATGTATTTCTATGCTGTTTGTTGCTTTCTTCATTTTGAATGCGACAACCAAACAGACAGAATTGTCCAATGATAAAGAAGCGACTGTTGAGCGAATTAAACGACCAAGGATCCGTCCGGACATTGTACCAGACGACCAATAGTAAACTTTCGTCAACTTGTGGTGCCATAATGTAAGCTGTCATGATCCACACAAGTTAAGATTCCTAGGATTTTCAGTTGTGTTGCATACCGAGTTAGTGGTATTTCCGGGTATGCCTAGTATGTCGATGACAACTTCTTGGAACGTCAAGGATTCCTGCAAACAAAGCGGTATGTGTCCAAGAACACAATGATTAGAGAGCAGTTATTTTGCATTTTGAACAACAGGATAGTGGGTGCGTGTGCGTGTACGTGTGTCTTTGTGTACATGTGGGTTTATGTGTGTACATGTGTGTGCGTGCGGGTGCATGTATGTGCGTATGTATGTATGTGTACGTCTGTGGTTGTGGTTGTGTGTGTGGGGGGGGGGGGCACATACAAGGTTGTGTGTGAGCCTGTGTATGTGTGTGTGTGTGTGTGTGTGTGTGTGTGTGTGTGTGTGTGTGTGTGTGTGTGTGTGTGTGTGTGTGTGTGCGTTCATGCGTGCGTGCATGTCTGTGTGTGTGTGGTAGTGGATATGTGGGTGTTTGTCCCGGCCCCCCTGTGCAAAGCGTATAGACGGTATAAAGCAATCACAGTGCCATATACAATAAGAAAACAACGAACGCAAAGAGATGCAACTTGTGACCTTGAGAACCACGGTGCACGAGAGTGATAATACACTAACTGGTCAGAGACAAAAAAAGTATTCAAATGCTTATGGTATTGGAGACCGTACAGGCTAATGTGTTGAATCTCTGTACCAGGCGCGTACGCAGGCGGGTTTCCCGTTGCCCGGAAACCCCCCAAATGTTCCAAACGAGCAACGGTTTTGGGCATTTTTGGTAGGGCGCATGATCGATCTGGCCAGAATGCAAAACTTCAAAAGATCGTAACTCAGTCCAATCTCGCTCAAATCCAACGATTCAAATATCCAGGTCGAATAGAAAACTCTCAGCTGTCGGTTGAAACAATTTGCAAAGCGCTGCGAGCAATGTATCGTGAGATAAATCATTCGTAAGTTGAGCTGCGATCTCGGCAATTAAAAAAGCGCTCAGTGCGACTTGAGTATCGAGAATTTGAGATTTTCGTCGCGCTGATTTGCTCAAATTTGCACGGGCTTTACTTGTGATATTTTCACGAGTACACAGCAAAAAATCGAAACTCTGCGATCAAGAAAAACGAAATCGATGGAGCAGGATGCGTTTGGGCTTGTTTGGGGCATTTTTCGCACCGTCGCTGCACTCTACCGCGCTGGATATGTACATGACTGTACTGTGTCCTAGCTATCGGGGTCAACCTCATTCTCTCCCTGGTACCTTTCCACTTCCAGGCAGCCCAAGATAATGAAGATTGAGTGAGTAAAACTGAAGTTATGATCCAAACAACACGAAAAATGCATAATTTTGAAATTTTCCTAGGGCTCTTTAGAAAGGGTTAATTAAAACTCATTGTTTGGGAATCGGTTGGAAACCCCCCTAGAGGTGACCCTGCGTACGCGCCTGTGTACATACCGTAGAATCCCGCGGATAAGCCCACCCACGTATACGCCCATGCCCGCGCATAAGCCCAGGGCTTGTTCGAACATCACACAGCTTCATCGTACAAGCCCATGGGCCTAGGTCACACCGAGAGTCCATAAATTATGGACTCTTGTCATGCACATTATAGTTTTTTCGTACATTTCAGCACAATCATTGGTTGTTTTTTGTTTGCGCAGTGGTTTTCAGCAATATACTTCACACTTCCTGGATACTTTTCAATACCAAAACTCGGTGTCGGCGTAAAAGCCCATGCCCGCGTATAAGCCCATGTTCTCGTATAAGCCCACCGAAATGTCCTTGTGAAACAGATAAGCCCATGGGCTTATCCGCGGCATTCTACGGTATGCAATCCTACTCACAAGGTAAGATGCATTGACAGCATCTGCTCTGTTGGGCATGATCACCACTGGCAGGTCAATCTAGACACAGGAAACAATGAAAAGAGAGAGATAGAGAGAGAGATTGAGAGAGAGAGAAAGAGAGAGAGAGAGAGAGAGAGAGAGAGAGAGAGAGAGAGAGAGAGAGAGAGAGAGAGAGAGAGAGAGAGAGAGAGAGAGATAGAGAGATAGAGAGATAGAGAGATAGATAGATAGATAGATAGATAGAGAGAGAGAGAGAGAGAGAGAGAGAGAGAGAGTGATGTATGGATGCTGTTATGTGCTGATAAAATAAACTGTCCAGCACAGTCAACATACATGTAAATTTTGTTGTCAGAGCATGAACCCGATATAAATACTGTGCAAGCACAGTAGCATTTCAGATGATTTGCATGGCGTGGTCCAGCAGATGGCCATTTACTCACACATCGTATATTCCTGGCTTGCAGCTCAAAACTAGCATAGCAAAGTCTGCATGACATGCCACTCAACTCCAATTTGCAATTTAAATTTGCTATTCAAATTTGATTAACGCTGTTTGCCAGTCAATTATTCAAAACTAGCACTGGTTTCTACCCAATGCACTCCATGCCAAGCATACGCGATGACCTCATGTGCTCCATACAAGATAAATTCAATGACCTCAAGCACTCCATAAAGGACTATGTCACTATGTGCGGTCCATTCAAATCATATGCGATGACCTCATGCACACCATACAAAACATATGCGATGGCATCATTGACTCAGTACAGAGCAGACACATATGTGTTGACCTAATGCACTCAGTACAAAGCCCTACATGATATGCTGGGGGGGGGGGGGGGGGGGGGCTTCATGCACTCCTCTCCCAGTATCTGATGAAAGTCTTACGTGGATCGGGTAGATGGTATCCTCGTTCTCATCTAGTAACCCACTCAGCCAGTAGCACTGCGGATACGCATTCGACGTCACGTCATCGCGCGGCACGTTGAAGACTCGCTCGCAGTCGTCCCTGTCCCGTACGGCCACGAGCAGGACCTGCGATTGTTCGGCGTCCTCTCTGATGCCTCGCATCACAATGGCCTCTGGTACTGGCGTATGAAGAGCGAAATGAACTGCCACAACTGACAGGCTCTGTAGAACAAGCAAACAGTTGGAGCATGCAGCGGCGGGGGGCTACAGGCATTAGCAAACACAATCCCTACAGTCTATTCATTGGAAACTGGCACCTTAACTGTTGGTGTCTCCCACACATAGTCCTAGATATCGTGAAAACGACAGTACATCCTGCATTGTGTGACCCATGCAATTACTCCTTGCCACATTTGAGGCCAGAAAAGTCCAAGAACAGGGAAATAGAAATTCAGCCCTACACCAGTGCTGAAACTACAGCTCACATAGTACATATTTTGAGCAGATATACTCTTGCTTAGTACGGACATTGTCCGTATCGCCCATACCGTAAGTCCACAAATATTCAGCGCATGTCTATTTTCCCCTACTTTCATGTTTGGCCGAAAATTTGTTGCGGCCAAATTTTGTTTCGCAAGGTTAAGTAGGACAGTGTATACAGGCGGCAGCAGTATACGCCGAAAATTTGAGGCGGCTGAACTGTGTTTTAGCCTTAGGAGGTCGAAATTAGAATGGTTCGAAAATCCGTTGACTAAAGTATATAAACCTCTTTAGAGCGAGGGTCGTACTAATACGACGCACACAAGTTGCGTGTCCCCCGCCCGTCGTAATAGTACGACACGCGCTGTACACTGTACACTGAACCTGCATGCCACAGTCGTGGGGTCCGTGTTGAGCACATACTGACTTGTTCCAACTATCGTAACTCACTCAATACTTGGTCAATTCTCACAATCGAAACATCTATCTGCAAGAGAACACTCTCAGCTGGCGACAGAAACAATCACCGAAGCGATACGACTACCGGTTGTTGAGATATGCGACTCGACAAGGCAAATTTCAACTTGATTTTTTGCGCAGTCTGCAGAACGCGTGTATTCCATTTTGGATCATTCAAGTTGCGCTACCTGCTGCCATGGAAACGAGATTCAAATAATGGTAGTGGATCCCGTGAGTCGTCAAAAAACATTTGAGCTCGATATGAGCAAGGAGACCCAAATGACAGCTGAATATTTGAGCTATTTTAGTCTTGGCCGTGTTTTAGTCTGTTGAGCCCGTGGATGAAGTTTGCCAGACTGTAGGACGGGGTTTAGGTTTCACTCTGAGCTCGGTTTGACATCAGTTTGTCCCTCGTCTCAAGACCTTTCTGGGAAGCTCAAGATCGTGGAATTCGTCCAAGGGAAGGTAAAGTTATCTATCCTTGAACAGCTAGTACTTTCATGGGAAAATGCGACTTTTACAGGTGTTGACGTGGGGCGCGTTCAGGTAGCGTCGTTTCGAAGAAGTTAAACCATACTGAAGTTTGTAAGGATAAGAATTACCCCTGATTCCAAGACTAAGATTTTTAGTAAGAACACTTTTTCGGTCCTTTGGGGTATGGCTGATCTGGAATCACACTCTAATGTACTCTCTCTCTCTCTCTCTCTCTCTCTCTCTCTCTCTCTCTCTCTCTCTCTCTCTCTCTCTCTCTCTCTCTCTCTCTCTCTCTCTCTCTCTCTCTCTCTCTCTCTCTCTCTCTCTCTCTCTCTCTCTTTCTCTCTCTCTCTCTCTCTTAGTAGGTGGTGTGCATTTATTCCCTGGCCTCTCAAGTGATGGAGGCCCCTGTGAAAATCACTGTTGGACATGACATCTCTACAACAGCATAGACTCTTGACAGATTCACCACTGGGGCGATGACCCCCTAGGCCAGTGGCAAGCCAAGAAACATGCACATACTGTAAATCAGAGAACGCCATAATTACTGCACCTGCGGGTGCCATGCAGGCGTCGTCACGTACAAGGAGAATAATTCAATGATGAATTATGGTCCCACATCTGCACTGCCCTCACCTGGGACAAAGCCAGACTCAAACTGGCATTTTGGTCACCGCTTACGGTCTTCCACGCACGCTCCGGATTGGTGGAATACATACTCTCCCATAGCGCATTCCCTGCATTGTAGAACTCTGAACCTGGGATGCACCGGCGCGGGATCCCCGAGGTTTCCGGAAACGAAAACATTTCCGTCACACCACTCCCATTGTGCGTTGCGGAGCAGTCGGACGATGCGGAAACGGCAATTGCACGCTCGGGCACAGATAGCACGAGTAAGGGCCCTGACACAGGCGGAGCTTCCACAACATCCGCCCCAGCTCTAGACAAACCCGTCAAAATGCTGAGTAAAGCCAAGGCAGTTGGCCACCCTTGCCTTGCCCACGCCATAGTAGCACCACCTAGTACCTGCAACGCAAGCGGCAATCTAGTCGAGCCTTCCACAATGGTCGCTGTTCTCCTTGTTCAAGAAGACTACTCGTGTTCTGGCCTGCAGAGAACATCGCCGAAAAGGGCCGCTGCTTCCAGCACGGTGTTCAGTTGGGGCCCGATGCATCACAAAGAAACTATTCGGTTTGTGGCTACTCTCCTTCTCCAGAACGTCATGTAGCGGCATGCCGTACATGTGCGCTCTGTTCGAAGCGCAGGTATTTCTCGAGTGGCTTTTTTGTAATATCTTCCGAGATGAGAGGTCTACATGAAACTCTCAACGAACTCGTGTCGCATCACTCCAGATAAAGTGGTGCTTGAGCGCGTACCAGGCCACGAACTGAACACAAAATAATTTGCAAGCGAAACTGCTGCAAGAATTTGATCCGAAGCGTCGCGCACATCACGAAGACGAGTCAGAAATCTCGAGCACTTGTCGTTTCGTCGAGTCCTTGTTCTCAGCGATATCGCTATCGCTGGTATCCATGGTATCAGTGGTGCTACGATGTCGACAGACTGGGTAGATTTACAGTGGAGATCTACGTGGTGTAGCCGAGACGAACAGCGCAATCTCACTAGTGAGTGTGATTCGTGCTGCAGACTCGTTGTGCCAACTGCCTGAACTGGTCTCTTTCTGTGTGCACATCATGCACACACACACACGTACACTGTACAATCCATGTACATCTACAGACTCAGTCATAAAAATAATAATCCTGTGTCAGTGATGGAACTCTGCTACAGCCTTTCAGTGGTAGTCTTTGGCGGACTATGCTCGGCCGTCAAATTATTTATTTATTTATTTATTTATTTATTCAACATCTCCTGGCCCGTCCGAAGACTGCCAATAAACATGAGAGGTCAGGTGATAGCCAACCACGGCAAGCTAAAAGGGAAAAAAAGAAAGATGCTGTCAGAGAGGGAAAGGAGATAGGGAGAGAAAAAGAAAGGGAGGCACATTAATAATACATGGGATCACTTCGGATGAGACAGTGTGGAAAGCTGGACTGTGAATTTCCTGATATCCTGGCATGTCTTAATGCTAGTAGGCAGGTTAGACCAAAGGGAGTATGCTGAGAAGAAAGGGGATTTCAAAAACAGAGAGGAACTAGCTCGGGGCAGTGATAAGGCATTGCGTGTTGGTCTAGTGGTAACAAACCAGTTGTACTTGGCAATATGTTTCGGGACTTGGGCTAGGAAGATTTTTTGCACAAGGATACAAAGATGCTGCTGATGTCGGGCAAGAAGAGGGTGCGTGGAAGCAAGTTTATAAAGACAAAGGGAGGCAAATGTTTGGTCTTTTCGAAACAGAATTTTCAGAAGCAAGCGTTGATGTACCTCCAGTCTGTGGAGTAAAGTCTGAGACAACCCGCACCAAGCTATATCGCAATAGTCAAATATAGGCAAAATGTACGACTTAAAGAACAATTCTCTGCAGTTATCATTCAAGTGTTGGCAGTGGGGTTGTAGCATACCTAAGGACGCACTCGCACGCTTGCACACAAACTGGACTTGTGGAGACCAGGAGAGTTGGCGGTCGAGAATAACGCCCAGGTGCTTGTGCTCGTTAACAACTTTAATAGGTGTACTATTTAGACCAGGAAAATACAGAAGTTGAGTGGGGGGGCGAGGGAGAGAAGAACATGGCCTCGGTTTTGGCGAGGTTAGGCTTCAGTTTCCAGGTTTCCATCCATGTTACTGTAGCGTTGACCCCGGACTGCATGGAGGCCGTGAGGTTGTCTGCCGAGCTGTCGGAGCACATCAGAGCAGTGTCGTCAGCAAAAAGACTTACATTTGGTACAAGGGCTGGCAAGTCATTAACGTACAGTAGAAATAGGAGCGGCCCAAGTATGGACCCCTGGGGTACCCCAGACACGACTAGTAATGGGTCTGATAGGGAGGTAGATACTCTGACAGTCTGGTGGCGGCAGGAAAGATAGGATGAGAGCCATTGCAGGGCTGGACCGTGTACCAAGAAGACGGACTCTAGCTTTGCAAGCAGACCACGATGCCAGACGGTGTCGAAAGCTTTCGCTAGGTCAAAGAACACGATGCCAACATGCCGCCTGAGGTTCCGCTGGGTGTAGATGTCTTGTACTAGACGTGTTAGTTGGAAAGTTGTGGAGTCTCCACGGCAGAAACCGGATTGAGATGGTGAAAGCGCTGGGGTGACGTGGCAGTACAGAGACTCAAAGAAAATACGTTCACAGACCTTGGACACAGCGGGAAGGAGAGAGATTGGTCTGTAGTTGCCAGCCTGAGAGCGTTGGCCTTTCTTATAGATCGGGACGATAACAGCAGATTTCCAGACGGACGGAAATACTCCTGTACGATATGACATGTTAAAGAGCAGGCACAAGGGATAGGACAGAGATGGCGCAAGCCATTTGAGAACCTCATTGGGTATGCCATCTTCGCCAGGGGACTTACAATTCTTCAGGAGTTTGAGGTGCTTACAGACGGTAGCAGTCGTGGTAACGACGCGTGTGAGTGGTGCGCTAAGTTCAGGGGCTGGGGACAGCGATGGAATGACCCAATTCGGATCTTCCGGAATGCCGGATGAAACAAACTGCTTGTTCAGTGTGTCTGCAATCGCCTTCACATCGTGCTGGCGGTTGCCATTGGAGTCCGTCAGGTACTGGATTGGCGCGCGGGAGGTCCCGCGGCACTGGTTGCGAATGAATTGGTGGAGTGATGGGCGATCGGGGGAGGAGAGTGTTGCAGAAAGAGAGTTTAGAAAGGAGCGGTGTGAGGTACGAGAAAGGTGCTTGACGAAGTTGCGTTGAACTCGGTAAGCCTCCCGGTTAACCGGCGTTGGGAATTTCTTGTAGATGCTGAAAAGATCACGCTTGCGCTTCACTTCAGATACGAGGGACCGTGTCACCCATGGGGGACTAGATGTCGAGGATGTTGGGTTGGAATGTTTCCGGTTGTTGTAGCCGATAGCAAAGTTAGAGAGGTGCTGTTGGAACCCTCGTTCAAGGACGGCTGCAAAGTGATCTACCGCGGCGTCAACAGTTGGAGAGCCTTCTGGTTGCAGAAACGACCAGTCGTGGCAGGAGAAATCAGCGTTCATAGAGTCCCAGCACTGAGAGGGAACTCGACGGAAGCGATATGGGAACGGTTTGCGAGAAGGAAGTGGCAGGTCTGGATCCGAGGGCAATGAGACGGCGAACTGGCATGAAACCATGAGATGGTCCGAGGACGGGAATTATGCTTTTGATTGTGCCACAATTATGCCAACAATATGTATCAAATTTTGACTGAGTACGCCAATCAATAAAGCAATAGGGCTTGAAAGTGATGACGTCAAAAACGGCCAGGGAGTAGAAAATTGACATCAGATTTCTATTTTGGATCCACTAAGGTGTGACTTTGCTATTGCCTCAGTATGTGGGTGCATAGCAACCCACTCATGTCGTATGCAGGGGTGACTTTTACTTCGCCACCAGTTGTAACCCCGCCCCCAGTAGCCAAATCAGTCAGTTTCACTGGTTACATCACCTTGCTGTGAGTAAGACGGCTTGAAATGTGCTTGGATCCATACAAAAACTGGATCCAAGTGGACCCAGTTTTTGAATTTTTGAAATTGTTGCGATGCTGTGACGTAGCATTTTCAAGCCCTATAGGAAAAAAAGCCGAGGTCTTTTACGAGGTTTTATTTCCTATACTGACCAAGGACGAAGTCAATATTAGATTTATCACGACAAACAGTCCGTATTTCAAATTCCAGAACGATAACCTCATGAATCCCGGTTTTATGATTGCACAACCGTTGCACCACCACCTACTCGTGCAGTGACAATGCTGCACTAGGCACCGTTCAACTGCGCAAACCCTAAAAATAGTAAGCAGTCAAATAATAATAAGCAGTCAATATAGCCCTAATAAGGAGTGAAATATGCAGGAATATTTGACTGCTTAGGTATAGCGAAAATCAATGGGAGTCAATACTAAGGGAGTGATAAGCTGAAATATTCTGAATTATGCTCGGTTCCACTATGTATTCACGCTGTACATACATGTAGAGGATTGAGAAACCACGCATACACACGGCCATGCCCTCAGCATAATGTTTGTCTTAACCGAAAGATTATGCCGACCTTAAACGTTGGAATCCGTATATTGTGCCTGAGCATAATTTTTTGACGAAATCCCAAGATTATGCTAAATATTATGCCGGCATAATCCGCCAAGGCAAGGGCTATGACAAGGAGTCGTAACTGGAGTATCTAATAAAACATCTGCAGGCTTTCTGACAAAGAATAGCAGAAGTTGGATGCAACAAATTTTCGTGCTCCGAGAATTACTCTCTGCAGCACTTTCCTGCCTTTTACCCAACCCACTTAAAGTGACTTTGTATTCTAGGCTAACACAATGTCCCTCGATGAGAATGCAGACCTAGCTCTGTTTGGATATCAGGATCTGATCAACCTGGGTGAGCTGAAATCCGTCGACCAAGCATCGAGTCTCTCTCGGCCTGAACTCGTCAAGCAACTCCGGGAAAAAGGCGTGGGAGTGCTGCCTCAGCCAGCCACTACACACGGTATGTCTGTTGTAGAAGACCAGCTTAATAGCCTTGCGGTATTCTTCGCATCCATGTCCGCGGAGTTTGTGTCCATGAAAGCGGATAGAGATGACACAATATTGTCCTTGAAACTAGAGGTTCAGGAACTCAAGCGAGAAATCAAAGAGCTTCGACAACAACACATTGCACACATATCCGTACCCCAGCCCAATATGGGAAGGAAGTCGTACAGTACTGTAACATCAGGAACCGTTCCCACAACCAGAACACGTGTACAGTCTGCAAATTCAGGTCCGAATATAGATCAACCTATTGCATCAATGCAGAGAAGTCCAATAAACACAAGCCCATCCGCACATCAAGGGAACGCGGGTACAGAAGAGGCATCCGAGACCGTCTCAGCCACCAGACACTCTGAACCCAGAATAGAAACAGGCACCGGTAGTACACACCTGCACCATAGAGAGTGGCAAGAGTACAGCCGCCGCTCACGTAGACCTTCCCCACGGTCCGAAAACGGCGATGATAATATCTCAGAAGCCCTGCGTAGCACCGTCACTTCTCGGTATGTAAAGAAGTCAGCAGATACTGAGCCGGCAGACGATCCTTGCGTTCTGATAGGTGTTATGCCCATCAAGAAAGTCGTTATCTA